AGCGAGTCAGCACATGCGAGGAGTAGTGGGAACGACTAGCTGACTAATATAGATACAAGCTCTCATTGAGAAGCGGGGAATATAGATATCAAGAAATACAAAATAAAAACCAATGGAATAAAGGGTATAAATGATAAACCGTTCTGAAGAAGTGGTTTTAATCGAATTAATGACGTCCGGATAGGGTGGGTATCCTCTTTGATTACGTAGTTTCGAGTCACACATTCCTGTATCAAGTTTGTTTTCATTTTCCATTTCGAGTCTTATGACAAAGGACTTGCGACTGTCAGCAGATTAATTTTTAAATTTTCCTGGTGTTTTGAGCTAAATATGTCTAAACTGAGGGAACACGAGGGTATTAAGTATCATTCACTTACGCGACGGAAACAGATGGATAGAACCAAAAACTTCCGTCTCACCTATGAGATCTTCTTATAAATTAAAACGCTGGACATGTGTTACGTTAATAGTGTCATGTGAATATTATTGTAAATGTTGATAAAGAAAGTAGTATAAAACTTCAGGGGTCTCTTTGTCTGAGTTCAGCGAACCTGGCTCACCTGCCGAGTTATGAGGTTTTGCCTCGCTTCTCTCTCCTTTGTGATGATCAGCAAAGGCAAGCTAACATGGTTATTAAAGGGTTGGTCTTTTCGTGACAGATATTTTGGCAGTTGCGATGGCCAATTTTTCCTTAAATCGTGAACACCGGAACATGGTTGGCAATTACGAAATCAAAAGATCGCGTTTCTTTCATCTTGGTAACCGCAGAGAAATAAGTTCTCGTATTAAGAGTGATTGGGTTGAAAAACCCAGTTCTGTAGCCGGGGTGGAATTTTCCACTCGCATAAATTGCTAAAAGGTCTGCTGGATAGCAGAAGATACGCCACGAATTTAAGAAAATATACAGAAGAACTGCCGAAACATGTTTTCAAAAAATGTCGTACAGTTTCTTAAATTCATAAATTGCCCCGGTAACTATCCTAGCACGTTAGGCGAACTCATATAAAAGGTCTCTTCAAATCCACTTTGATGCCGTTTATCCTTTTTGTTACCGTCTGACGGAGGACGGAGCTTTGGAGCGTCTTGCGTGACACACTAGTGTTGATAGCCAATTGCTGTTCGGGAAATGAGCCCACGCTCCTCTCTGAAGAAGAGGAACAAGGACTGGACCCTAAATATGGAAAGAAATCGTTCCTATCTAAACGAAGACTTCGTCAGTAACGCAGGTAATTCATAGATTCGAATTTCGTTCAAGTCTGATCTGTTGGGGTCACAAGCCATTCAAAACTGCGTAAAACAGGAACGAAGCACCCGGGCGTGTGCGATTTAGATTAATGAGGCAGCAGCCGTAATAGTTCCTCGTGCGGGGTTCACTCAGAACAAATTCTTGTTTCTCAATAAGTCCATCATTATTTTTTTCTATTGTTATCTCTCTCAATAAAATACTTAATGCATACATAATACTCTTTAAAAACTCCTATCGGCTCAGTCACTAAGATAGAACAGCCAATGAAGGAAGATATCTATTTTCTCTCGTTTGCAAGACATTGGTAAATCGGCGCCAACTTGTGTCCGACGCTATTTTTGGAAAAAACAATTATTAACTACAAATTCAATATGTCATTACGTTTAAGTTGCAAGTTGCAGACTGCGAGTTATCCTTACTCCTATATGCTAGGTAAAAGATAGAAATTTGTCTCATACAACCTCTTAACATAAACCCTTCACATTTATGCTAGAAAATGCTAGTAGAAGATCTCTTTATCCTTAGTAATTTATAAGATAGAAATTATATCTCGAATTTTCCTTGATACCTTGTAGCGAAAACCTTATTTAAGTGCATTTGTATATATCATTCTAAACTGGACATCAACAGCTGAGTGTGTACAAACCAACACCACCATCTCAACATAAATTTATTACATTTTTTTTCCATTCAGACGCCAGTCGTTTCGAGATTCGCGTACGTTGGCTGTGAGCAGTCTGGATCCTCTCTACCAGGCAACTCAGGAGGCATTTCTTCAACATCAGCGTATACCGTGGGCTCATAGTTAGGTGGTTTTGGTGGCTTTGCAGAGTCAGTTTCATGGTCAAATTCAGCAAGTTGAGCGTACACAAGGTCTGCCTCCTTTCGCTTGAATAAAAGTAACAAGAATAATCAATAAAAATACGCAACCGAGTGGTAATAGTACAAACACGTTTATGATATAGCGGTGATCCCTTTTTTTCCTTTTTGGTCTGACGACACATGTAACAGAATTTCAATGCAACAAGCCTCGATCTAGCAAACATCAATATCTAGATTCCCTACTTAGATGAGAATGTTTATCATGTTTTTCATGAGCACAATTTTTCCAATGCGCTTGTACACATACATGAATCTATTCATTCACTGCTGTACATGTCTCGTTTATTAGAGTCCATCGCTCTTGTGGAAATCTCAATTACGTTTCAAAGTTTTAAGCTAAATGCTCACCTTCTTGTTTGCCTTGTTGACAACGGCATATTCACAATTTTCTGGTGGTGGTTCGCGGCTAGTCTCACTCATATCGGGGCTGGTGTTTGCTGACCCAAGAAGCTTTGCGGCTTCAACTGGATTTACAGATGCATACTGGCTCTCCCCTAATTGGTCTTTTTCACTGCTTTAATAACAGAAAAAATATCTGATTAATTTAGAACTAATTTATACTTCATCATTTTTCGTTATGCTCGGTGGTAAAAAAAAGGGGAGGGGTGGAGGGGTGGAGGGGTGGAGTAGTGGTGGAGTAGTCTTGTTTATTAACAACAATGATGGGTGCCGTTTGAGTATCATTCTGAGAATCATTTCCATCGCAGTTTATTTTTTTAATGATGATGTTAAGACAGCTCCATGCTAATGGTTTAGACTCAGCTCTTCCGGTAACTCTCTCCATCCAGGAGTATGGATTGGCATCGACGGACCTCGTTTAATAGGGATAACTGACGAAATATAAGGGGAGAGGGGTTACCTCGCTATGGACTAACATTCTTTGTAAGGGAGGGAGAAGTAGCAATAGCTTTTATGCTGAGCTTATCTTACCCTGTATGATTCAGTAACTACCAGCCGGCTTTATCATTTGGCAATAATGTGTTGTAAGAAACTCGAAACATTCGAGAAAAAAAAACAAACAAACAAAACAAAAACAAAAAAACAAGTAAACAATCAAACAAGAAATAGTGACCTCTTCGGCGCTGACTTCTTCGGCGAAGCACTTTCTTCATCTGAAAAAATAAGGAAACATTACCTTATTTCACACCACATTTTTTTCCCTTAGCAAACAGTACAAGTGGCTACAGCGACAAAGAAAGAATGTTTTTGATATCATGGACATATAAGTGTACCCTACATCACTTTTTTTTGTTTTACCTGTGATCATCTTGAAACCTATTGTTCCAACATTTGTTAAACTACTTACCACTTACTCAAAGCTGGTTTCAATTCAATATCTTTTATGAGCACCGAGATGACAAACAAAAGAAGAGTCGGGAATTAACCAGTTATGGACTTTTGACATAAGGTGAGAGAAATCAATTTCCATTTAAGGCATATAAATGTACGTCACATTGATCCTGAAGAATTATTCGACTTTGTAAGCCCAAGGATTCAATCAAAAGTAAATAACATTTGAAAAATGACATTTTGACAGAGTCAGTGATTTTCACCGAGAGGCAGAAGTACAGTAATTGGCCTCCTCGTAGGAAGAGATTCTAAATCATCATATCATGACAAATTTTTTTCATGTGGGAAATAATAATAATGGTTTAATTCTTACAACGCTTGGAGACTCTCTACCTTTTCCCTGACGTTTTTTTCGCCTTAGTACTATGACTGCAATAAAAATGATCAACGCCACGAAAAACACTGCTCCTAAAGATGCGGCCACTACCATTATTGAGGGGGAAGAGCTACTGCTGTCATCCATGATGACTTTGGTTGATGATTTCGCTTCGTCAGTTGATTTCGCTCTAGTAGGGGTGGAGGCAATTGTTGAAGACCCTAGAATTAATGCATTAATAATTGACATTAAATCGTGATTTACTTATCCTCAATAGTGGTCCTGATTGTTAACCCTGTACAATTTAGACTGCCTTCATCCTAACTTTACCAACTGTCAACCTTCAAGCTTACAAACGAACAAAAACCTTCAAACGAGGAAAACTATTTGCTTTGCTAAAAAAACAGACGAACAGACGAAACAAAAAAAACAAACAAACAAACAAACCAAAAAAAAAAAGACAAAAGCAAATCAAAACAAAACAAAAATAATTTAAAACAAAACAAACAAACTTCGTTATACTTCAGTGGGAATTGCTCTTTTACGTAATTATCCTCAAATGAACAAGCGATCGATGATCTTGCCTAATACAACAGTGATATCCTGTTCAGTCGACGTCTTACCTTGTGTGGTAACAGCTTTTGTCTCAGTTGATGTTCCAGAAGGACCTGTGCTGGTGAGAACAGGATGGATGAAACAAATTCCTCGACAGGTAGCTGTTCAAGAAACATAACTACTGTCACTGCCACTATAGATTTCTCGAGTGATATCCAGATAACAAGGAAGTGTATTGTTTCTCAAGCTAGCTCAATGCCTCGAATAAATGTTAAATTTTCTATGTCTCTTCCCTATAATTTAGAAGGCTTTAAGTAAATATGCGGCTAGGATTACGGAGTCTGTTCCCCTGATGGTGATGGACTATCAGTGGTAAGGTGGTCGCAGTGGCGGCCTTCGGAAAGAGTAGGATGGGGATAGGAAAGATAAAGGACGGGGAAGGGAGGGTGAGGTCAGCCTACAGAAAATTCAAACTCTTGTATAACAACAGCCGTCGATTAAAAAAAATACTTTACTCGTTCTGGTACTGATCAATACCTGTTTCTTCCTCGCAAATCCATCCTCTTTGTAAGTAGCCCCTAGTGGTACTTAATGATCCTTTAAATCCCTTTGGAAATTCCTTATGAATCATTCCGTAAGAGTCATCTGGGTCAGGATTGTTGACTCCCTTATGCCATTTGTCAATAGTCACAGATTTACCATTGATCCAAGTCCATTTCTTTGTTGTTGAATTTTTTTCCAAGCCTATAAACCATTCATTATATTGGTTGCCTGTTTTATTTTGAATCTCATTTGTAATAAATTGCCATTCCTGCTCTGATTCCATCACTGCCAGTATTTTATCGTTGGCTTTACAGGAGTCCCTTGCATCTGTCCATGACCATTCATTTTCACTGAAGGTATAACATGAACATAGCCTCTCTCCACCTAGAATAACACAATTACATAGAAGTTAGATTAATAATTAGTGAAATGTGTCTTTATGTGTCTATGATAGAATGCATTGTTTACTGGGTAACTTTTACCTGCAGAAAATCAATTTTGAGTTTTCTTGGAGACAGTCGCTATTATCATCATCATCATTTACCCCTTCTGAAGCGGACCTAATTTACACAGAAGGAGGATCTGAGGAATAGCGACCATATTTTAAACTTCTTTAATTTAACCCGCATACACAAGAAAGACTGGCGCTAAAAGTTAGATTATGTTAGACTCTCTAAAATCGTTATCATTCACATGGTTTTCATTTCAACAAGTAAGCAGCGTAATATGTTAAAAATAGTGTATAAAGTAAAAGTCGGTACACAGTACAAATTCATTAATTCTCCTATGCAACATGCCTGAGTTGCGTTACACATTGCATGTCATGTGAGTTTACCGTGACGTCAATCGGTCACGCTATATATTACAATCGTTTTTTAACTTCATAAAAATCAGCGTTCTGTCGCGATGAACACAAAGCAAACAGCTTTATAGCTTAAACTGGATGAAAGCGACTAGAGGATGTTGGGTTATTTAACATGATTACCAAGCCAATATTATGCAGTATACATAAGTTTGATCATTAATGATTTAAACACGCAAACTGCCACTTCCTTCTCGTTGCAAATTTGTTTCATACAAGTCCGTCGCTCGGCTTGCAAGTCTTTACAAATATCTGTTGTAATCAATCAAATCGCCTTCTGCCCCAAGATTCTTCAATTAAGAATTCATTTTTTATTGATTCAACTCGAAAGTAATGAGCTGGGTCAGTCTAAACGTTCAGAATAAATCTAAAACGCCATGATCTCGAGTAACTAAATAATGAAACTCGACATTAGATTAAGTGCTTGCATTTCATAAACTCTAGAATTATCAAATATTCCTCTCTCATTTACCTGTTCTCGACAGCAACAAATCAACTCCGAGAATTATCAATGCATACACATTCACTAAATCCATTGTTCAGTGCTTCGGACGAAGATGTTTATTACGCCACGAAAGAGAAAGTTGCGCTTGAACTACTAATTAAGATTTCGACGCAATTTCCGGTCAGTCAAGGTGTGACTTGGGTGGAAACAGCGGAAGTTTGGCAAGAGATCACGCTTCAAGGAAAATGTAAATCAGGAACAGGCAATGGGAAAAATTTAGAGTGAGAAAAACATCACTAATTATTAATGTCAGCTTTTCTCTTAAGCTTAATATTATTAAAGGAGAAACAAAGTGTACTGGTTAAATTAAGGTAAAGCAGGGGTGTATTGTGTTGGATATTTCTGGAATGTTATCTAAATACTTTGCCGGCGAGATTGAGATCGTCAGGGTCAGGCATTGTCTAAGAAACTGTACGCCACAGTAGAAAGGAAAAAAATTCAAGTCAAGATTATTTTTCCTCCATCCTTCTTCCTCTCTCTCTCTCTCTCTATTATTCAAGTATGAACTTATGTGCATATGGTCTGTGGCCTTTTAGATAGCGTGATATATTTTCGCTGCAGTTGGTTTCGGATGGATTCTAAACCGATAAGATAATCGTTTGGATAAAACTATTCGATCATTCAAGTCAATATGCTTAATTTTGATATCATAATTCACATGTATTTTCTAAATCACTTTTTTTTTATAAGAAACACATGGGGCTGGACCCCTTCAAAGGAATCTTTGTGCATACTTGATTACCGGTACTGTTTCTCTCTGTCTTTCTCTAATTAGTATCTTAAGTTAGAATATTATATCTCAAATTTTCCTCGATACCATCTAGCGAAAACTTTATTTAAATTTATTTATAGTACTCTAAACTGGACATCAGCAGCTGGGTGTGTTCAAACCAACACCATTATCTTAACATAAATCTATTACATTTTTGTTTTTGTTTTTGATTTATTTTTTCATTCAGACACCAGTCGTTTCAAGATTTGCGTACATTGGCTGTGAGGAGTCTGGATCCTCTCTACCAGGCAACTCAGGAGGCATTGCTTCAACATCAGCGTATACCGTGGGCTCATAGCTGGGTGGTTTTGGTGGCTTTGCAAAGTCAGTTTCATGGTCAAATTCAGCAAGTTGAGCATACACAAGGTCTGCCTCCTTTCGCTTGAATAAAAGTAATAAGAATAATCAATAAAAATGCGCAACTTGGCGGTAATGCTACAGACAAGTCTATGATACAGCGGTGATCCCCTTTTTTTCTTTTTTTGGCAGAAGACACATGTAGCAGAATTTCAATGCAATAGGACTCGATCTAGCAAAGATCAATATTTAGATTCCCTACTTAGATTAGAATGTTTATTATGTTTTTCATGTGCACAATTCTTTCCAATGCGCTTGTATACTTACATGAATCTTTTCTTTCATCTGCTGTACATATCTCGTTTATTACAGTCCATCGCTCTGGTGGAAATTGACTCAAAACTACACGCAATCTCAATTACGTTTCAAAGTTTTAAGCTCAATGCTCACCTTCTTGTTTGCCTTGTTGACAACGGCATATTCACAATCTTCTGGTGGTGGTTCGTACCTAGTCTTACTCATATCGGGGGAGGTGTTGGCTGACCTAAGAAGCTTTGCGGCTTCAACTGGATTTACAGATTCATACTGGCTCTCTCCTAAGTGGTCTTTTTCACTGGTTTAATAAAAGAAAAATGACATGATTAATGTAGAACTAATGTTTACTTCATTGTCTTTTTTAAAAAGGGAGGAGAGGGGGTGGTGGTGGAGTAGTCTTGTTTATCAGCAACATGTGATGGGTACCGTTTGAGTATCATTCTGATAATCATTTCCATTGCAGGTTATTTTGTTTAATGATGTTTACACAACTCCTTGCTAAGGGTTTAGAATCAGCTCTTCCAATAGCTCTCTCCATCCAGGAGTATTGACTGGTATCTACAGACCTCGTTTAACAAGGATAACTGACGAAATATAAGGGGGCAGGGGTTACCCTGCAATGGACTGGCATTCTATTTAAGGAAGGGGAAAGTAGCAATACTCGTGATTGCTCCATGCTACGAAAGGATGGGAATTCCAGCAATAGCTGTTATGCTGAGCTTACCTTACCCTGTACAATTCAGTAACTAACAGCCGGCTATATCATTTGGCAATAATGTGTTGTAAGAAACTCGAAACATTCGAGGAAAAAAAAAATTAACGAACAACAAATAATCAAACAAGAAATACTGACCTTTTCGGCGCTGACTTCTTTGGTGCAGCACTTTCTTCATCGGAAAAAAAAAAGAAATATTACCTTCTCTAACACCGCATTTTTTTTCTTGGCAAACAGTAATAGTGGCTAAAGCGACAAGGAAAGAATGTTTTTGATATCATGGACATATAAGTGTAACCTACATCACTTTTTTTGTGTTTTACCTGTGATCATCGTAAAATCTATTGTTTCAACATTTATTAAACTACTTACTATTATTCAAAGCTGGTTTTCAATTCAATATCGCTTATGAGCACCGAGATGACAAAGAAAAGAAGAGTCGGGAATTAACCAGTTATGGACTTTTGATATAAGGTAAGAGAAATCAATTTCCATTTCAGGCATATGAAATGTAAGTCACTTTGGTACGACAGCAATATTCGACTTCACAAGCCAAGGATTCAGTCAAAACTAAATATCATTGGAAAAATGTTTGACAGAGTCGGTGATTTTCACCGAGAGGCAGACGTACAGTAAGTGACCTCCTCGAAGGAAGAGATTCTAAATCATCATATGATGACAATTTTTTTTTCATGTGTGAAATAATAATAATGGTTTAATCCTTAAAACGCTTGGAGACTCTACCTTTTCCCTGACGTTTTTTTCGCCTTAGTACTATGACTGCAATAAGAATGATCAACGCCACAAAAAGCACTGCTCCTAAAGATGCAGCCACTACTACAACCGAGGGGGAAGAGCTGCTGCTGTCATCCATGATGACTTTTTCGGTTGACATCGATTTGTCTGTCGATTTCGCTTCGTCTGTTGATATCGCTTCGTCTGTTGATTTCGCTTCGTCTGTTGATATCGCTTTGTCTGTTGATTTCACTTCGTCTGTTGATATCGCTTCGTCTGTTGATTTCGCTTCGTATGTTGATTTCGCCGTAGTAGGGGTGGAGACAGTTGTTGAAGACCCTACAATTAAAGCATTAATAATTGACATTAAACCGTCTTTTACTTATCCTAAATAGTGGTCCCGATTGTTAACACTGTACAATTCAGACTGCTCTCACCCTAACTTTACCCACTGTCACCCTCAAGCTGAGAAACGAACAAGAAACCGTCAAACGAGGAAAACTATTATAAAATTCAAAGAAATGTATTTTCCTTTGCTAAAAAAACAGACGAACAGACGAAACGAAAAAAAAAACAAACAAACAAACAAACAAACCAAATTAAAAAAAAAAAACCAAAGCAAATCGAAGCAAAACAGAAACAATTTCAAACAAAACAAACTTCGTTCTACTTCAGTGGGAATTGCTCTTTTACATGATTATCCTCAAATTAACAATCGATCGATGATCTTACCAGGTACAGTAGTGATATCCTGTTCAGTTGAGGTCTCTCCTTGTGTGGTAACAACTTTCGTCTCAGTTGATGTTCCAGTAGGACTTGTGCTGGTAAGAACGGGATGGACGAAACAAATTCCTTGACAGGTATCTGTTCAAGAAAAATAACTACTCTGATTATACATTTGTCGAGTAATATTCCGATTACGGGAAAGTGTGTTGTTTCTCAGACCAACTTAATGCCTCGAATCAGTAATAAATTTTCTATGTCACGTCCCTATAATCTAGAAAGCTTTGAGTAAATATGCGGCTACGATTACAGAGTCTGCTCCCCTGATGGTGATGGACTGTCAGAGGTGAGGTGGTCGCAATTGGCAGCCTTTGGAAAGAATGGGTTGGGATGGGAAAGATAAAGGACGGGGAAGGGAGGGTGAGGTTAGCCTATAGAAAATTCAAACTCGTGTATAACAACAGCGGTCGATTTGAAAAATATTTTACTCGTTCAGGCTGTGATCAATACCTGTTTCCTCCTCGCAAATCCATGCTCTTCGCAAATCGGCCCTAATGGAACTAAATGATCCTTTAAATCCCTTTGGATACTCCTTGTGAATCAGCGCGTAAGGGTCATCTCGGTTAATGCCATTTTTATGCCATTTGTCAATAGTCAAAGATTTACCATTGATCCAAGTCCATATCTTTGTTGTTGAATTTTTTTCCAAGCCTATAAACCATTCATTATATTGGCCGCCTGATTTTTTATTTTGAATCTCAGTTTTAATAAATTGCCATTCCTGCTCTGATTCTATCACTGCGAGTGTTTTATTACTGGATTTACAGGAGTCCCTTGCATCTGGCCATAACCATTGTCTTTTATTGAAGGCATAACAAGAACATAGCCTCTCTCCATCTAGAAAAACATAATTACATAGAAGTTAGACCAATAATTAGTGACAGTGAAGTGTGTCTTTATGTGTCTGTGAGAGGATGCACTGTTTACTGGGTTAACTGTTACGAGCAGAAAATCATATTTGAGTTTTCTCGGAGAAAATCGTTATCATCACAATCATTATTCCCCCTCTAAAGGATACACAATTTACACAGGGTAGGAAGATCTAAGAAATAGCGACTTAAGTCAACCTTCTTAGAATAATCCACATCCGCAAGAAAGACGAGCGCTTAAAGTCAGATTATCGAAGAATCTCTCAAATCGTTTTAATTCACATAGTTTTCATTTAAACAAGCAAGCAGTGTAATATTGTAAAAAAAAGAATAAAATAAAAGTTAGTACAATATGTAAATCCATTGATTTTCCCATGCAACACGCCTGGGTTGCGTTACACATTTCATGTCATGTACAGTTTATCGTGACGTCATCAGTCACGTTAGTCACGCTTTATATTACAATCGTTTCCCAACTTTATGAAGATCAGCGTACTGTCGCGATGAATACAAAGCAAACAGCTCTATAGCCACAACTGGATGAAAGCTAGTGAAGGATGTTGGTTATTTAACATGATTACTAAACCAACACTATACATTATACATAAATTTGATTATCAATGGTTAGACACGCAAACTGCCACTTCCTTCTCGTTGCAAATTATTTCATCCTCATCCGTCGCTCGGCTTGCAAGTCCTAAAAAACCTGAATCGTAATCAATCAAAACGCCTTCTATCCCATGATTTTTTACTCAAGAATTCATTTTCTATTGATTTAACTCGAAAGTAAAGTGCTGGGTCAGTCTGACGTTCAGGATAAATCTAAAACGCCACGATCTCGAGTAACCATATAATTAAACTCGACATTTGCTTAAGTGCTTGGACTTCATGAACTTTAGAGTTATCAAATATTCCTCTCTCATTTACCTGTTCTCGACAATAACAAATCAACTCCAAGAAGTAACAATACGTACGCCTTCACCAAATCCATCGTTCAAAGCTTTGGATGACGATGTTTATTACGCCACGAAAGAGAAAGTTGCGCTTGCACGACTAATTAAGATTTCGACGCAATTTCCGGTCAGTCAAGGTGTGACTTGGCAGGAAACAGCGGAAGTTTGGCAAGAGACCACGCTTCAAGGAAAATGCTAATCAAAAATTTAGAATAAGAAAAAAAAAAGTATTAATGTCAGCTTTCCTCTTTAGCCTTAGATTATTAAAGGATTATTAAATTCAAGTAAACCATGGGTGTATTGTGTTGGATATTTCTGGAATGTTCTCGAAATGCTTTGCCGGCGGGATTGAGGTCGTCAGGGTCAGGCATTGTTTAAGAAACTTTACGCCACCAAAAAAGGAAAATAAAAAAATCATCTTAAGATTATTTTTCCTCCATCCTTCTTCCTCTCTCTCTATTATTCAAGTATGAACTTATGTGCATATGGTCTGTGGCCTTTTTAGATAGCGTGATATATTTTAGCTGCAGTTTGGTTTCGGATGGATTCTAAACCGATAAGGTAATCGTGTGGATAAAACTATTTGATCATTCAAATCAATATCTTTAATTTTGATGCCACAATTTGTATGTATTTTCTAAATCACTTTTTATAAGAAATACACGGGGCTGGAACCCTTCAAGGACGTCTTTCTGCATGCTTGATTACCGGTACTGTATAAGTTAGACAAGGTCAGAAATACCTATTTCATCTCAAGCATTTATCAATTCATTCTTTCTTTTTTTCATTAGTTTTACCGAACACAAACTTATAAATCCTGCACGAATTAAAATGACTTCACAGCCATCTTAAATTTGCCAAAAACGTGGTTTCTTTCAAACATTGTTCCTCTTTTTCAGTCACAACTCTACGGGAAGAAAATGAGATATTTTAACTTCCCGTAATGTTGAAACCGAAGAACGTCCGACTAAATTGGGTGTGACTTAAATTGACTTTATTAAGTATTCATAGTGTGGCAGTTTTATCAGTTGTGTCTTTCGTAGTTCAACTTCTTTGTTTCCTTTAGAAGTAACTTAGATGAGTTTCAACTACAGTGAAGGAAATCTGTTTTATAATATATCAAAGGTTTTAATATAGAATTACTACAGAGTGTGTCTTGTACAATTGCATCGTTGTGTTGCATTGATAGGGAAGTATAACTGAAATGAGGAAGTTGTACATAGTTCTCAGTGTAATTAAGTCTGTTTATCTAACTGACATTTCTAAAATTACTTCAATTTAAGTACATATACTCTACACGGAAATGGAAAAAGACTATTAAAGGAAACCCCACTGTGTGCGCAATCTTGTGGCTTTTATTGATTTACAGGGGGATTTTTTCTGATGCCGTGAAGATACCGTGCCATAAGTATGAAATTAGAGGTCTTGGAAATTATTTTTAGAGGGGGAGAGAGGGGGGGAGGGGGTGTTCTTGAAAGAGCGGTTTTAATATGGGAGCGAGGTTTTCTGCATCCACTTCCTATCAAGATATCATAATATAAATAAATTGCTTGAGACGAAAATATTGCACTCATTTAAAAGAATCTTTTTCTTTATTTTCGTGACTCTCGGACGTACATGCAGTATCATATCCACACCGTAGTACAAGGGAGGGGGGAGGGGGTGGTTAGATATGAGGGAACCTCTACCCAGGCGATTAGAGAGTTCGTTACATTGCGATATTTTGAATAGTTTTTACCCTAAATAGATAGCCGATTATGTCGCCTACGAGGTAATATAAATATTGTGGGATACATATGCAAATAACGCAAGAAAGGGGGGGAGGGGGAAAGTACAGTGGTAACAATAACGGACAGTTGTGTACATTTTATTATAATTAATTATTTTGGCTTATCAAAAGTACAGTTGCTATTGAACCTAATCAGGCAAATAGAAATAATTTTGAGAAAATAAATCAGGTTTTGTGCTTCCCTTTTCAAATTAAAATTGTTTCGCAGCCCACTTGGATTCGGGGAAAAGTTTCGTGACGAATACAGGATTTTGTTTGTTTTTGTTTTTCCCTTTATTTCCTCGCCATTTGAAAAAGCAACAATGCAGATTCAAGCGCGTTTTAATATTTAACCCACTATCTAAGCAATAAACTACACTATCGGTTTGCCTGTGTAATAAACCACGTGCGATAAAGGGAAAATACGAGAAAAGTTTCAAAAATTGCAATTGCAAGTCAGTCAGATGTAATGAAATCCGGTTGGATTTATCTAAACATATCAAACTCAGTGTTAACAAAAGCTTCTATCAAGTTCCGGCGATCACGCCCCCACCAATGTCTGACTCAAGAACGCCTAAGATTTGAAACATTTTACAAGATTACTCAAAAACATTTTAACGGCGATCAGTTTTACCAACGAATTAAAAAAAATAAATATTAAAGCTATTGTATAAGACGTTTTAAAATACCAAAATCTTAAGATTTAATGGGTCAAAATCCAAGTTTTCAAATCAAGTTTGCGCAATATTTAAAGACGATCAAAGGTCATTTCACGCCAGTGTGAAAACAATGGGTCCGTACTCTTCTACGCATGCTCGGATCTCGATTTTACCGCCAAATTCGAATAGATCGAAACATTTCCTTTATTTTGGTATATAATTCGGCTTGTTTTCGAGTATTTTGGATGGGTCAAATCTCCGTTAAAGTTGGAGGACTTCTGGTGTTCCTATTATTCGCTTTCTGCGGATCCGTGAAGGCTGTGGGAGATGGATCGGAAGATCAAAATAATGGATTTGCGGGCCATCCGCCACCTTTCTTCACATGCAGTATCAACAAGTAAGTTATTAATAAGAACTTAAAAATTAACTGTCTCCATTTTTTCCGGACACCAACTAATGAATTAAATTTTCATTGCTAATAGTCTCGCATATATCTTATCCCAGTCGTTTTATCCAACTTTCAGCTATTTCCTCTACACAATTGCCAAAGAGAATGAAGAGGGTAGTGGCGAGTCTGCCTTCGCTGCAATCGTGGAGAAGATCTTTCAAGAAACGGGCATTCGCGGTGTTGTTGTGAACAAGAGAATAATAAATGTCGTTCGGAAAAAGATTGGGTCTCTGTGTGCCGAACTCAAAAGAGTCAAGAAGAAAAGTGGAGGTTTCGGTGTCAAAAGAATCATAAACAAATGGCGTGACCAAACTTATGAGGTGAAGATATTTTATCACGAACTTCACAAATACGTTATCGAAAAGGAGAATCAGGATTTACGAGGGAAGAAACGAACACTGGAAGAATCTTTTTAGCGAATGAAACAACTAAGCGACAGAAACTCGAGAAAAAAACTCGGCGACACAGAGAGGAGCTGCAATTATCTGAAAAAAAGGTTTCAAAGTCTTGTTAAAAAAGTTGAGAAGAAGAACAAGAAAGGAATTAGGGGCCCTGAAAAAAAGTCATTTGCTGAGTATTCAAAGCAGCACCAAAGCAGGATTTAAAATAAAATGAAAGAGGAATGTCAGGCCACTCTTACTTTCCTTGGATTGTACAATTTTATGGCCACCAAAGTTGAAGTGTTTAACACTGACACAGAACAGTATGACACTTTTAACTTAATTGATGAGGAACAAATGCAACAATCGGACACTGAGGGAAATGAAATAACTGACACCCAGGCTGATGACATCAACTACTGGATTTACATCAAGGACAAATTCAATATTTCCAATGATGCATGGCATGAAATGGCATTGAGATCTAAAACAATACCAAATACTTACAAGACAACTCGAAAGATAAATGAATTAAACCAGCAATGGAAAATAAGAGATACCCCTGGTCAAGCAGAAGGGTGCAAATCAGCTTCAAAGAAAGCCTCAAGGAACAAATTACCAACTTACAAAGGAAAGGAGATTTAGAAGGAGATACCATTGGGGTGAAGATAAGTGGAGATGGCACAAACATTGGAAAAAGACTTAAGCTAGTAAATGTAACATATACAATTTTAAATGAGAAAGAGGCTGCAATGAGTGAGAAGGGCAATTATGTTCTGGCTATACTCAAGACAAGTGAAAACTATGACAATCTGAAGGAAAGTCTCTCTGATTTAACACAAGAAATGTCGAAATTAAATAAGGTAACAGTTGAGGGTAAAACCTATAATATTGAATACTTTCTCGGTGGGGATTGGAAGTTCCTGGCATGTGTCTGTGGGTTGGGGGCTGCTAACCAAGACTACGCCTGTATCTGGTGCAAATGCCCTCGCAACCAGAGACATGACATCCAAAGGGTATGGTCACTTTCTAACAGTGCTCAGGGTGCCAGATCACTGGAGGAAATTTCAAGCTTTGCCAAATCAAAAAAGTTTAATTGCAAAGCAACTCCATTATTTAATTTCATACCAATTGATCATGTCATTATTGATACCTTACATTTATTTCTCCGCATATCAGATAATTTAACAGAACTTTTAATCAGGGAATTAAGGAGAAAGGATGCTTGTGAGAAGATAACAACATTTCACAATGGTTTTTCTCGAGAGAAATTTAAACATATGGCAGCATATGAAACGTTTCTCAAAACCCTTGGCATTTCTTTTGAGTGGAGAATAAACAAAGACACAAAAAAACTGGACTATAGAGATCTCACGGGTCCTGAAAAACTAAAGGTCATGCAAAATATTCAGTTCTCTTCTCTTTTGCCTGGTTACAATTCAGAAAAGCTTCAGTTACTATGGGGTGGGTTCATGGACATCATTGGTGATTTAAAACTTGATTTTCCAACAGATCAGTCAATTGATCACCTTAAAGAAAAAATTGAGGGATGGTTTAAGATTTTCTTGTCTCTATACCAAGCCAAAGATATCACACCATATATGCATGCCCTATATTTTCATGTTCCTGAGTTTTTAAAGTTGTATAAAAACATTGCATATTTTAATCAGCAGGGTATGGAGAAATATAATGATGTAGCTTCTAAGAATTACTTTAGATCCTCTAACCACAGAGGAATTTCTGCTTTGCGACAGCTTCTCTTAAAGAAATACAGAATTCAATTTTTGGAAGCAGCAGGGTATGAGAGGGTGAAACAGAATTACAAATGCAGTAACTGTTCCAGTCCAGGTCACACAATCAAGACCTGCACCAAGCAATGTAAACATTGTGATCACCGTACCTGCTGTGCACACCTTGTTAAGTGTGAAGGTAAATGGGTCCCAAAATGTTGTTCTGGTGCTTCATAGAGATACATTTTAAATGGTAGAGAAAAATCGATTCTCTGGTTACCTAGATGTATCACAGTTTTAAGTTACAATTTGAGGCTGTTGTTTATTTATAGATTACAGAAAACAAAATCACAACCTCCATGATTCCACAAAAACAGCGTTTTAAAACAAGTTTCATGAGATATAAAATAATGGAAAAATAATTTCGTTGCAGTGAAGCAGAAGATGAAAACATTTTGGGACTATCCAGGGCCAGAATAAAAACTGAAGCCTGCTTTACTCACAGTTTGGTACTCATAACACTTTCCCTTAGTATAAATACAATTTATATTAATTAATTATGACATTGTTTGTATTGTTATCTGCAGAATGATTAAAAAAAATATATAAACTATAAAGTGAGATTATGGATAAAAACAAGTCAGTTCCTCGTAGCATAATTATGCCTGTTTCCATCTCCTCTAACAAATGTAAATGTTAAATAAAAGTTGTTCTCTATTTCAGATTTGATGTACTTTCCCCCTATTACCTTGAATTCTTGAATGGGATTCCTTCTAGCCAACCAGAAACGCACAGTTCCTTCAATAACAAATGCAAAGTCACCATTTTCGTTAAAAATACGTTCATCCCATTTGACTCCAAGCAAATGGTTTAATGTCTGATTAGAATCAATACTGTACACGACCTTGCCACGCTCTGTCTTTGCTTTTCCCGCCAATGCCAGTCCTTCATTAAATACATCTTGATCAATTCGAACTTCAACACGAGTGGACGGATCATCCTTCCTGCCAGAATATAGCTTCCTTTTTATTTCACGATATAGCTCCCCGTGAATCAATTCCAGGCGATCGTCAAGCGAAGAAGACGACGGACTGGAAAGAAGTTCCATCCGCTGGAAAAGATTGTTGTCTTTAGATTCACATGCCCGCCACTCGTCGTAGCGTTCACTGTAGCCAACGTAATGGATCTTAACTCGCTTTCCGACCTTGTCCACGTCTGTTACAACCACAGGATATAGTTTACGGTCGGTTGTTTTTACTCTTGTCTTTTTTCGGCAAAGCTTCGATGAAAAGACTCCTTCCGGGTATCGTTCTGATGCTATGATCTTCCTCTTAACTCTCACTACCGCCATCGCCGCCATCTAACCTCTTGCGCTTGCGCAATACCGAAAAATTTTGGCCGCGCCAGACTGGACACAAATTTAAGCAAATGTTTACGTTCGTGGGAGATAAGTTTGATATGTTTATCAAACAGTTTGTACGTTGTTAAACGGTGACTGAACTTTTCACTTCCACAATAGCCTGCAGTGGAGGCGTCTTATTAGTGCGAGCTAACGTCATATGCTCGCGATCGTTTATCCGACCGACCATATCTGATTTTGGAGTTAGATAGACGGTCGGAGTAGACGGCAGGGGTAGGGGTACTTCTCCACCCATACCCGTCTCCTCATTGTTGACCGTCGACCACCCCCTTAGTAAAAATTTCTTTTTCTACCCGTCCTTCCGCTGCCATTAAAATCGAAGATGGCGGCCTTAATTTCCGTTAAGTAAAACACTGAGCACTCGCTGGCCAAAATTACGCCTTGCTCTGTAGGCTACTCCAACAAAATATACATGCACTCTCGATGAGTCTTGACAAGTCTGTTCAATATGAATATTTGTATCATAAATTGCAAGACAAAAACCGGCTAGAGAATAACATATACATAGCAGTGCGCTAAATATGAACCAATTCTCTAGTAGTGCACCTTACCTAATGCTGTGTCTTCGTCTTAATTGATCATTTTACCCCGATTAGGCGATCGAGGCGTAATTATTTTGATAATCTTTAAAATGGGATTTTAAAATTTCCAGAATAAGTCGGTGCTATAAGGCAGCATAGTACTGAAATCCAGGCCACTTAAAACTTATCAGAGTTAAATTTATTCATTCGTCGCTTATTTAATTTAACATTTTGTTACCTTGTTTGTTGGAGTTTTTTTTGTGATAATGTTCCAATCAAATACGCCCGTAAATCGCTCTTATAATAGAGAGGGCTAAAATTACTGTTGGATTTTAAACAGAAAGCCGAAAGGATCCAATTCCGTATTTGTGGTTTTTTCGACGTAGTATCAAAACCCCAGCAAGGATCATGGATTATCAATACTATAAACAACAATCCTGCTACGTTGGCAATTAGCAGATGATGGGGAAAGCAGTAATTTTTTAGGTCACCGACCTTTATCCCAAGTGGCCAGGTTTAATATACATTTTTTCTATGGCTCTTCCCGGAGGATCTTAGGCACGGCCTCTTGCGGTGTCGAAGAACTCGGGCACAGTTTTTCCCAATACGGACCTCCCGGCTGGTAAATAACATACATTGGTTTCATTCAGACACCAGTCGTATCAAGATTCGCATACGTTGGTTGAGAGGAGTCTGGATCCTCTCTAGCAGGCAACTCAGGAGGTGGTACCTCAACATCAGCGTATACAGTGGGCTCATAGCTGGGTGATTTTGGTGGTTTGGTGGCATCAGTTTCATTGTCAAATTCGGCGAGTTGAGCGTACACAAGGTCTGCCTCCTTTCGCTTGAATCAACACAGGAAAGAAAAATATCATAGATCAAAATGCGCAGCTAGCGGTGATGTGGGGTCTCTTGTTTCTCCTTTTTGGTCTGCGCCACATGTAACAACATTTCTCAGCGCAAAGAGCCTTGTTCTAGTGAACATCAATATCTAGATGCTCTACGTAGATAATAATGTATTCCATAATCTCACTCCCTACAGGTTTAGTCATGTGCATAATTCTATCCAATCTGCTTGCAGACGTACAAGAATCTGTTCATTTACCTGTTGCACATGTCATGTTTATCAGAGTCCATCGTCCTAACAAAAACTTGAAATTACACTGAGTTTCAATTACTTCCATAATTCTAGGGCTAACTGCTCACCCTCTTGTTTGCCTTGTTTACAACAGCATATTCACAATTTTCTGGTGGTGGTTGAAACCTAGTATTATTTTTGCTGTTCGGTGACCCAAGAAGCTTTGCGGCTTCAACTTGATTCACAGATTCATATTGGCTTTCTCCTAATTGGTCGTCCTCGCTGCTTAGGTAAAAAAGAAAAAACAATTGAGAATGTTGGTTTTTGCGGGGAAGCAAAACGGGAGATCCCACAGAGAAACCCACGAAGCAAGGACGAGCACAAAAAAAAAAAAACACAACCGACACGTATCACCAGATCCAGGAATCGAACCCGAACCATAGCGGTGGGAGATTAACGTTCTCGCCACTTCGCCTTCCCTGCTCTGAAAATTGTCGTAGTGCACGATGATATTTATTTCAGTCTCAAAAAATCTGGACACTTGAGTCTTTGGCAGGGGTTTGAGACTCGTTCCTTGCAGTGTCCCTCTCCATCCAGGAGTATTGATCGGTACACAGAGACCACGTCTAACAGGGACACCAAGGCGCATGAAGAAACGTAAGGAGGGGGGAGGGGAGGGGAGGGGAGGAGGTAATCCTGCTATGGACTGGATTTTCTCCAGGGAAGGGAGAAGTATCGATACTCGTAAATGCTCTATGCTATGCTAAGAGGATAAGATTTTCTGCGATGGTATGCTGAATTTACCTTGCCCTATATAAATCCAATCAGTACTGGTTGATTTTATCATTTGGTAATGTATTGTTGTAAGAAACTTAAAACGTACCCTTAGAAGTATAAACAAACAAACAAATAAATGAACAATTAAATGGAAACAAAGAAAAGATAAATACTGACTTCTTCGGTGCTGACATCTTCATCGAAGACTCTTTAGGCAGTACGCTCTCTGTATCTTAAAGAAACAAACAAATCATTTACCGCAGGAAACATCGCCTTAAAAAAAAAGATATAGTAATAATGATAATAAATGAAAATTAAAAGATAAACGTTTTTTTTTCCTAAGCAGACGATAACAGTGGCTACGACAATAACAACAGAGATTTTTTTGAAATTATGGACATTTAAGTGCAGCCTTGTTTTTCATTTTTACCTATGATCATTGGGAAACCACTTTTTCACCATTTGCTAAACTAGTTACTACTTATTCAAAGCTGGTTTTCGACTCACTGACACTGCTTATAAGTATGACGTTGACAAATGAAAGAACGGCTGAGAAGTTAAAGGCAATTAATAAGACTAGCTTTGCGAATTTGATGATGAAACCATTCCAGAGACACATGAACGTCACAGTGGAACTGCAACGATATTTGACCTTTTATGGGAACAAGCTTATGTAGCATGGGTAAGCCAGGGACTCAATAAAAATATAAATACAATAAATTTTATCTGGAAACCAAGGAACAATAACATTTTCCTGAGAAAAGAAAACAGCAACAACAAACATAAAACAAACAAACAGAAAGGGCTTGTTTGATCTTCCGTTATACAGTGTGGTTAGGCTCCAGTTCTATTTTCGCAGGTAAAATCACAGTTTCTGATAGACAGAGGGTCAATTAAAGGTTTCGCCGCATCAATGATATCAGAACCATTATGTCATTAGAAACTATTTTCATATTGCAAATAATAATAGTTTCATCTTTATAACTTCTAAAGACTCTTTACCTTTTTCTTGACGTTTCTTTCGTCTTAATAAAATGACTATGATGAGAATGATCAACGCTACGAAGAACACTGCTCCTAAAGATGCGCCCACTATCATTACTGTAGGAGAAGACCTGCTCTTGTCATCCGCCGTGGTAGCAGTGTCTGTCGATTTCGCCGTGGTAAGGATGGAGACAGCTGTTAAAGACCCTAGATATTACATCATTGTATTAAAAGTTTTGTTCACATGCACATGAATCACGATACAGTTAAACCTAAATAGTGATCCTGGCATTTAATATCGATTTTAGCTTGAGACACAATAATAAAACATACAAATAAGGAAAACCACCGGGAGGTCAAATCTTTTTTCCTCTGATAAATAAAAATACAGACAAAAAGACAATCTAAACAGTGAAAGAAGAGAAACAAATAGATACCGTTTCGACTTGTTTTCAAAATTTCAAAAAGAAACATACAAACTTCGGCTACTTCATAAAAGTTGCTCTTTCACATATGTCAAATTAATCTGTTACATCAGTGACATCCTGTTCTGTTGACGTCTTGACTTTTGTGGTAAAAGCTTTTGTTCCAGGAGGACTGGTGCTTCTCGAAACAGGATGTGAGAAACAGTCTCCTTGACAATTGTCTGTTAGAGGAACATGACAATCGACACTGTCACTAGCAAGACATTTGTGGAGTGGTATTGCGATTGGGTGAGAATGTATTATTTTTAGGCTTACCCATAGCCATGAATTCATACATTTCTAAGAGGTTCTCTTATATATTCTTATAATATCATTTATTATAATATTATTTACTTATATTCTATAAAACTTTTTTAAAGGGGCTGGTATTACGGGAACTTTTCCCTAGTAGATGATATGCCTTCAGTATGAGGTGGTCGTAAGGGGCGGATTCCGGAAAAGGTAAGGTTGGAAAAGAAAAGATAAGGGGTGGGAAAGGGAAAAATAAGGGGTGGGAAAGGAAAAGATAAAAATCCTTATGCTTTTGCCTTCCCTTTCCCACCCCTTATCTTTCCCTTTCCCACCCCTTATCTTTCCTTTCCCACCCCTTGAGGGGGTGGGAAAAGAAAAGATAAGGGGTGGGAAAGGGAAAGATAAGGGGTGGGAAAGGGAAAGATAAGGGGTGGGAAAGGGAAAGATAAGGGGTGGGAAAGGAAAAGATAAGGGGTGGGAAAAGAAAAGATAAGGGGTGGGAAAGGGAAAGATAAGGGGTGGGAAAGGGAAAGATAAGGGGTGGGAAAGGGAAAGATAAGGGGTGGGAAAGGGAAAGATAAGGGGTGGGAAAGGGAAAGATAAGGGGTGGGAAAGGAAAAGATAAGGGGTGGGAAAGGGAAAGATAAGGGGTGGGAAAGGGAAAGATAAGGGGTGGGAAAGGGAAAGATAAGGGGTGGGAAAGGGAAAGATAAGGGGTGGGAAAGGGAAAGATAAGGGGTGGGAAAGGGAAAGATAAGGGGTGGGAAAGGGAAAGATAGGGGGTGATAAAAGGAAAGATATGGGGTGGGAAAAGAAAAGATAAGGGGTTGGAAAGGAAAGATAAGGGGTGGGAAAAGAAAAGATAAGGTGTGGGAAAGGGAAAGATAAGGGGTGGGAAAGGGAAGGATAAGGGGTGGGAAAGGAAAGATAAGGGGTGGGAAAGGGAAAGATAAGGGGTGGGAAAGGGAAGGCAAAAGCAGCCTGAGGCTAATTCAGATTAATGCATGACAATAATTTTTGATAAAGCTAAAATCGTTTCCTTTATCTGATCCTGATCAATACCTGATTCTTTCTCGCAAATCCATCCTCTTTGTTCAGTGCCTTGAATGGTGCTAAAAGATCCTTTTATTCCAGCAGGAAATTCCTCATGAATCATCCCGTATAAGTCATTTGGTTCAGGACTTGAATTCTCCCATTTGTCAATAGTCAGCGGTTTGCTATTGATCCAAGTCCAATTCCCTGTTGTTACATTGAGTTCTAAACCAATGAACCACTCGCCATGTTTACTGCCTACTCGGTTTTGAATGGCATTTTTGATAAATTCCCATTCCTGCTCTGTTTCCATCACCACAAGGCTTTTGTTGTGTTTTATACAGATGCCATTTGCTTGTGGCCACGCCGTACTAAGTGATTGGTTATTAAAGCTGTAACACGAACAAAGCCTCTCTCCATCTACTAAGAAACAAAAAAACAAGACAAATTGCAAAGATGTTGTTTTAACCTCTATCGATAATCAACAACAGGAGGGGGGTAGAGGGGAGTGTGTGAGCATGGATTACGGATTGAACTTTCTGATCCATGGATTACAACCGAACACGTGACTTGGTGGAGGGTGATCACCATCATCACTCGTGCATTAATCATGAATAGATAATTACCTATTCATTTATCCATGTTTATATTCATTTTTTTATTCGTTATTCATTTGTGGTCGTAAGAAAGACTTACGGATTCGAAAAAGACCACCAGTCTGAAGAAGACCTTAGTTGTTTAGATTTAGTGGGAATAGCAGAAGAATCGCGGCGATAGCACAAACTCACTCCATACACAAGCCAGTAGTCTCATACCCACATCCTACCGCATAACTGAAAAGTGGGGTTTTAGAACTGCCTGGCCTTGGAAATTCTGGGTATGAGACAACCACATCAGATAAACGTCCGCTAGCAAAGAAGGCGATCACAATTAAATGTACAATACTATTCGATACTTCTTCAAATCTTTTTTATTTACTTACTATTTGTCGAAAAAGTAAATATCGCGATGATGATTATGATGAAAACCAAAACTGCAAATTTATCCATCAAACCCTCATGCTTTACATCCAAAACTTGAAACAATGGTATCATCCCACTGTTAAGTTACACACTGCTTTCTGCATGACGTCATTTTGTCACGCCAGGAATATGAGCGATCGTTACTCAATATTCTTAACCCACGTTAACCAAGCTGTCGTGAGGAGCATGAAACATACGGCTTCAGAGCGGTTTCGACAAAATCTGGATCGGACCGGATCGGACCGGATCGGACCGGATCGGACCGGATCGGACCGGATCGGACCGGATCGGACCGGATCAGATCACGGACCGGATCAAGGATCGGATCACGGATTGGGTCACGGATCGAATCATGTTATTTGAAATTTGAATTTTTTTACGCGACAAGTCAAAATTAAGTCTGCGTGACATAATGGGGCGCAGGCTTCACCATCACGTATCATTTCCTCAGTCAGTTAAGAAAAGCACGAAATAGTTCTCAGTTGCTTCTTCTCCTTGAGCTTTTTCCGTTTTTCGGTGAGGCTCGTTGTAAGTCATAGTTCGCAAACTGATCGACCTGAGTGCTAAGATGCGTGGCCTCCCAAGAATCGCAACGAAATTTCACCAACTAGAGGTTATTTCAATTCATTTAGTGCTGGTTTGTTACGCATTCCTCTCACTAACATCTGCGTTTCGCGATTTTTTGAGACCAGCGATGGGGCTTAATTGCCGCTCAGATCGAAGGCAAATCGAAAAAATTCCGAGAACCCGTATGTATTTTTGACGAAAACCGAAAACCAAATGCTAAATCGCGTAATATCCGTAAACCGAAATGAACAAGAAAACCGAAAGACCATAGTTTTTTTGGCACAAAAACCGAAAATCGGATATTTAAAATAGCCAAAATCGTCAAACCGAAAGCCTCAATGCCCCCACGCTGATTGAAGAATAAAACGTACCTCGATCTCTCTCGCCCTCCGTCCATGGCAGCACTTCACAACACTCCTCGACAGAGCGGTGAAAGGACTACATGGAGTTTTGGGGCAAAAAACAACAACAACAACAACAACAATAACAAAACAATAAAATGGGCCTGCGCTCCATTATGTCACGCAGACTGTTTTGGCTTTTTACGCACATCTCTACTTTTCATTGAAATAATCTTAATTTTTTTCACACTCCCTTTTTTTTAACCGTTCATGACTTTGTAAATGATTTGATGGTTTAAATTTTGAAAACTCTCCCCCACTTCTGGTGGGACCTGCGCTCGATTATGTCACGCAGGTTTTATTTTGGCTTAACACGCAATATTTCTAATTTTATCCGTGATCCGATCCGCCTTCCGGTCCGTGATCCGATCCGTCCGATCCAGTTTTTCAGGACGCCCGCTTCATAACGACAGCTAATTGAAAGCTGGTAGAGCTTACTGGATGACACTTTGAATTTGATCAATAATGCATGTGTTTCTTTTTCATTCCAATCGACAATCGTTGTACAGCTTGCATTGTGTTAAGGTAAACTGCGTGAAAAGTCTTCTTTCCTAGCAGTCAAAATGCGGTATATCAATAATATCTGCGTATGTAAGTCATTTTCATCGTAAAAATTCGCAATTGAAATAGATTAAATTTTTATGTCACATTTGCTCGATGGCAAATAGGTCACGCCATCTTTGACAAGGATCGTTACACGACGTTTTTATAACAATAAAGCAAACTGTCGCGATGTACATGAAACGTACAGCTCCGTAGCGACAGCTAAATGAAAGCTGTTCACAGTTCCAAATTCGAGAAAGTCGAACTTAAAGCAAACATGTTACAACGGATCAAAATACATGGATCTATTTCCATAATGGAAAAGCCTCTACTTCCTTTTCAATCCCATCGACCATTGTTGTCTAGAGTGAAGTGTGTTTAGATTAACAGCGAGATAATTCTTCCTTAAAAACCATCAAAACATTATTTACCAATCATCTTTTATAAAAGCAAGTCATTTTGGTGATAAATTTGGAAATTTAAAACGTTGGATGGGCAAGATATTAGATTTGATCATGTAAGTACGTACATCAACAAAACTCGTGAAGTCAAGGATTATTTTCAATTCCATTTCACTTACCAGTCCTCGGCAGTAACAAATCAATTGCAAGCACGATCCAAACATGTATGTTCGCGAAATTCATCTTCCTAGGCCTACGTTCTGAACGAGAAAGTTTGAAACGCCACGAAAGTGAAATTTACACTCGAACGACCAATTAACATATTTCTGGTCGCACAACGTGTGACTAAGCAGGAATCAACGGAAGTTTGACAAGAGATCGCGTAAAAATAGATTTAAAGGAACTTGATTTCGACGGTGAATGAGAATTTGAAAAAGGGAAATTTTGAATGATAAAACAACGCAAATTTCTACTGCCAGCTTCTCTTTAGCTTTAGATCATTAAATTAGAGGCAAAGTGTTCTGGTTTATTTTAAACAAGCAGGGTGTATTGCGTTCGATATTTTTGGAATGTTCTTGAAAAGCTTTGCCGACGGATTTGAGGTCGTAGGGTCAGGCACTGTCTAAGAAACTGAACGCCACAATTAAGGAAAAAAAAGTTAACGCAAGATTCTTTTATCTGTGAACTTATGTGCATATCGCCTGTGGTCTTCTAGATAGCTCGATAGATATTGACAGGGGTTGGTTTCGCACTCATTTTTGAAGCGATCTGTTAATCGCCCTGCTAACACAGTTTAATCAATCAAATTTATATCTTTGTACTTTGATTTCTTAACTGAAAGTATTTACTTAATCACTTTAATAAAAATCATATCGATGGAATGAAAACACGAGGACCGGAACCCATCAAGGGAATCTTTCTACATGGATGAGTAATTACAACGATTCGCATGTAAATTCAATAAACAAGGTCAAAAACACTTAGATTATTTCAGTCATTTATTTATTTATAGCGGAGCTCGCGTAGCTCCATAATTGTACAAAATAGTTGTAACCCGTCAAGCCGAAAAAATTTGGATGTACGACCGCGGTACGACCGCGGTACGACCGTACGACCGACCGTACAAGGTGCTACTTTTAGCATGCGCGGCCAACTGTACCACGGGCATTATATCTTGTAATCAGTCTTCTACACGGACACGAAGAAGTTGCGAATGAAAATCCATTAATATTACCACGCACTTTATCCATAGTAGAAGCTTTAGTTTTGTTGAAGAGACGTGCGGGAAAAAAAATGCGAGCTCCGCTTTTAGGCTTGCCTAAATCTAAATATTATTTTTGTACACAGACTAAATCGTTCTCTTGGTATGGATCCTGTAATAACCTACTATACGGGAACGTACTAACGCACTATGAGGGAATCGAAATCGTTGTTTAAATGTTATACGACACGACAATCAGGCAAATCAACCAGACTGAAAATTCGGCAGATGCGGAAACTATGAACTGTGTAAAAGATTAATAAAGAGCTGTTGTAATAGTTGGATGACTGAAAACTGTATGCTTAGATATTCATCTTTATTGTAGCGTTTTCCAAAACGAAGTGAAAAAACCTCAAACTAGAGTCCTACTGAATAATCATCAACTAACTACGTAATGCAGATAAAGTAAAATAACAATGACCTTAAGGCCTTTTCTTTTTTTTAAATCCTGAAAAAAAACCTCGTAGTCCAAAAAGTATTGATATGTCAACGCTATAACTTGTGCTAGGAAGCGAGCTCCTTCACCCATCACGCCATCTCTGCTCTCAAACATATGCGCGTGTACAGATACGGTTGCATCGCCTTGTTATACTTTTTTCTCTATTAATGATTATAGTGTTATGAATAATTTGATAGTTTTTTAAAATTTTTTTTTTTTATTATTTTTTTTTAATTTTACGATGGACTAAGCATTTACTGCACAATGGAACCTAACTGGTAATTGTTGTTTGATTACGCTTGCAACATTTCATTCTGAAAACACACTTTAATGATAAGAAATTACGAATTTATATTACTAGTAAAAAAAAAAGCCTTGAGTTGCTTTCTCCTAATTTTTATTATCATATCATGATTGTTATTAAAATTTTAATTATTGTTATTATTTCTATTATTATTATTATTTTTTTTTTTGATGGTGGATCTGATACAAGTTCCAAGCAATAATGACAGCGAGTTCCGCATCATCAGAAGGCGCAGCATGCGTAGACAGAAAAGATTGTCTAGACGACAAAATGGCATGGTTTTCAGTCCATTTACAAGTAGTAGGTTTCTTAAACCACGATTTAATTTAACCCAAAGGAAATTCTTGTTTTTCTTTTGTGGCCTTGCTGGGACAAGTGCTATTATTACATCGTTTACTTCAGTTTTATAATCCTAAATTAGCGCCAACCGTCTCACGAACACTTCACTCAAGCATTAACATACTCAGGAGTAGGTATCTGGTTCACATATTCAGGATTAGGTATTTGATTCACATATTCAGATGTGTAAGTTCGGGAATCCTCGCCTTCTGGAGCCTGCAAAATATTCAGTTTTTTTTGTTAGAAAACTGATGGTTTTTATCGACTTGACAGACAGGGTTTATCGAACTATGCTCTCGATTTCCTTCTGATGATATAGACTCCTTGGCATAAATACGGCTAAACGTTTAAACTAGTGGTTTTGAAAGGTAATGTCTGTTTCCAAATAAAACCCCTCTACCTCTACTGCCATAGTGTCATGTTTCCCCCGAGAAACTGCAATGTTTAAATAGATATATAAAGGAATAGATAGATAGATGTAGCTGGTAGTTTGAAAACACTTAAACGTTTCGGATTTTATTTTTTATTTAATTTTTTTTTGTTGTAATCCAATGCTGAAAAATCATATGGGGATCACATTGGGTGATTTAAATTCATTTTATGAGTAATTACCATCACTGGCTCTAAACACGGCGCGGTATGTACACCCTCCCGTTAGAAAAACGGTTTACGTTGGAGCCTAAATAAATAAATAAAAAAGACAAACAAAAAGAAAAGATGAAGCAAATTTAGGTTAGCTAAGCGTACATAGCTTTTTTAGCAGGGAGGAAAACCTGTGGATTCGATTGCCACCCATGAAATAAACCCCTACCAAAATCTAACTGCTATCAAAATTTGGTTTACTTCCGCTCTATAATCCTGGACTATCGCTAAATTTCTAACAAACAATGCACCATAACTTTTTACACGTTTTCTGATGGTGAAGTATTAACATACCCATGAGCCGGTTTTAAATTCTCATATTCCATGTCTTTGGCTTCTCTTGTAGATTCATCAAGCGAAGCGTATGTTCGTGATTCATCGCCTGCAGGCGTCTGCGAAATAGGCAGTTTAATTGGTTAGCAAAATTTTCATTCGATTTTTTTTGTTTTTCGGAAATCACGTTTGGATCACATTTGATAGTTTTGGTTTCATTTTATGTATGATTACCATCATTGACTGAGGACATAGTGCGGTATATACACCCTTCCGTTGGACAGGCGGTTCACTTTGGAGCCTCTCATTCCCGGTTTCATCTCCCGCAGAAAAAATAGGCTGGGCACAACCACTCAAGTTAGTCAACGGCAAACTTTCTTGAAAGTCGCACTTATTTCTGTGTAGAGACGGGTTACAAATAAACATACAAAAAGAAATCAGGAAACAAAGTAGGCTAGCTATCAATGGCATTTTGACAATGGAAATACACTGCTAACAGTAAGACAACCAAACAAAAGTTCAAAAAACAAAGCAGCAAACAGCTCGCCATATTCATCAGGCAATTAGGAAGACATCGAGTCGACTTGATAGAAAATGTACGAGGAGCGTGTGGGTTTAGGGTTAGGGTTAGTCAACTAGTCTCTTGCTGCGGTCTTTAGTGGCATTCGATCACTTGTGAAATCCACAAATCTTCTCTTCTGTAAAATTTATGGGAATCATATCAGTGAAAACGCGGAGAGAGGTTTTGTTTCCGTGATCATCATATGCCGTGGTTAATGCAGAGTTGATATTTCCTCATTTTGTCTCATACTCGTGGGTGATGGAGGCATTCTTGCCCATCAGCAACGGTGATGGACGCATATGAATATTTTTTTGAACATCACTTTTGTTGGAAGTTACTCGGTCTTATTTGTTTTCACAAGTGCCTTTGTTGCTAAATGTTGTTTTGGCAACCAACTTCAAGGAAATCAGGGGTTTTTGCAAGGGGATTATTGATTTCATGGTCTCAATTTTCTTATGATTTTATTGGAAAAACAGCAAATTCATGCTCTATACGATTTCAAAAAAAAAAATGGATCACACAGAAAGTCTTGAACGAGCAATTGTATTATATTCTAATTGACGATAGCCCCAGTAACTCGTCAAGTTCATGAGATAAGGTAACACCTCCAAGCAATGAACTTTGAATCTAGATCCGACTCAAATTTTTAACGGTTTTCTTTTTCAGGTAAACTTCAATGTAACATGCGCAGTCTTTTGGTTCGACGTGGAGCATACGCGGTTTGTGTGCTTAAGGATTCGGGTCCTCGGGTCGATTCGGGTCTGGGCTCGAACTTGGGGAGATGCTTTAGACTAGTTTTATCCATCCAGGAGTATAGATTGCGATCATGTTTAACAAGGAACCTGAGGGGGGAGGGGCAACCTTGCTATGGACTGGTATTTTCTTCAGGGATGGAGGAAGTAGCCCTACTAGTAGCCACAAGAGGATATGACTTACAGCGCCAGCTTGTATGCTGCTTTTACCTAAAACCACTCAATAAGTATCAGTTGGAAAGCGTTGCACAAAAAATATGCATTAGATACTTACGATGATTCTTTCGACACTGTGCTTTTTGCATCTAAAAGATGTGCATTAAAGAAAACATGAATTTGGTTAACTCTGCGTGTAAAACAGACAGGTTTGTTTCCTGCCGCACTGTAACAGTGGCAAAAACAAAGCCATATGTTTTTGTTATCGCGGAGATCTTCAGTTATGCATTGTGCTTAGGCTCCAGTTCTATTTTCGCAGGCAAAATTACAGTCTCTGAGAGACAGAGGGTCAATTAAAGGCTTCGCCGCATCGATGAAATCTGAACCATTATGTCATTAGAAACTATTTTCATATTGGAAATAATAGTTTCATCTTTACAACTTCTAAAGACTTTTTACCTTTTTCTTGACGTTTCTTTCGTCTTAATAAAATGACTATGATGAGAATGATCAACGCTACGAAGAGCACTGCTCCTAAAGATGCGACCACTAACATTACTGTAGGGGAAGACCTGCTCTTGTCATCCGCCGTGGTAAGGGTGTCTGTTGATTTCGCCGTGGTAAGGATGGAGACAATTGTTTAAGACCCTAGATATTATATCATTGTATTAAAAGTTTTGTTCACATGCACACGAATCATGATACAGTTAAACCTAAATAGTGATGCTGGCTTTTAATATTGATTTTAGCTTGAGACACAATAATAAAACATACAAATAAGGAAAACCACCGGGAGGCCAAATCTTTTTTCCTCTGAAAAATAAAAATACAGACAAAAAGACGATCTAAACAGTGAAAAAGAGAAACAAATAGAGACCGTTTCGACTTGTTTTCAAAATTTCAAAACGAAACATACAAACTTCGGCTACTTCATAAAAGTTGCTCTTTCACATATCTTAAACTAGATACACCTGATACATCAGTGACATCCTGTTCTATTGACGTCTTGACTTTTGTAGTAAACGCTTTTGTTCCAGGAGGACTGGTGCTTCTCGGAACAGGATGTGAGAAACAGTCTCCTCGACAATTGTCTGTTAAAGGAACATGACAATTGACACTCACTAGTAAGACATTTGTGGGGTGACATTGCGATTGGGTAAGAATGTATTATTTTTAGGCTGGCCCATAGCCACGAATCGATACATTTCTAGTAGGTTCTCTTATAATTTATCTATAAAGCTTTTTTAAAGGGGCTGGTATTACGGGAACTTTTCCCCAGTAGATGATATGCCTTCAGTATGAGGTGGTCGCAATGGGCGGATTCCGGAAAGGGTAAAGTTGGGAGAGTTGTAAGTAAGGTGGGAAAGAAAAGATAAGGGGTGATAAAGGAAAGGCAAAAGCAGCCTGAGGCTAATTCAGATTAATGCATGACAATAATTTTTGATAAAGGTAAAATCATTTCCTTTATCTGATCCTGATCAATAACTGATTCTTTCTCGCAAATCCATCCTCTTTGTACATCGCCTTGAATGGTGCTAAAAGACCCTTTCATTCCAGCTGGAAATTCCTCATGAATTATCCCGTATAAGTCATTTGGGTCAGGACTTGAATCCTCCCATTTGTCAATAGTCAGCGGTTTGCTATTGATCCAAGTCCAATTCCCTGTTGTTACATTGAGCTCCAAACCAATGAACCACTCGCCATGTTTACTGCTTACTCGGTTTTGAATCGCATTTTTGATAAATTCCCATTCCTACTCTGTTTCCATCACCACAAGGCTTTTGTTGTGTTTTTCACAGATGCTATTTGCTTGTGGCCACGCCTTACCAAATGACTGGTTATTAAAGCTGTAACACGAACAAAGCCTCTCTCCATCTACTAAGAAACAAAAAACAAGACAAATTACAAAGATGTTTTTTTAACCTCTATCAATAATCAATAATAGGAGGGGGTAGAGGGGAGTGTGTGAGCATGGATTACGGATTGAACTTTCTGATCCATGGATTACAACCGAACGCATGACTTGGTAGAGGGTGATCACCATCATCACTCGCGCATTAATCATGAATAGATAATTACCTATTCATTTATCCATGTTTATATTCATTTTTTTATTCGTTATTCATTTGTGGTCGTAAGAAAGACTTACGGATTCGAAAAAGACCACCAGTCTGAAGAAGACCTTAGTTGTTTAGATTTAGTGGGAATAGCAGAAGAATCGCGGTGATAGCACAATCTCACTCCATACACAAGCCAATAGTCGCATACCCACATCCTACCGCATAACTGAAAAGTGGGGTTTTAGAACTGCCTGGCCCTGGAAATTCTGGGTAGGAGACAACCACATCAGATAAACGTCCGCTAGCAAAGAAGGTGATCACAATTAAATGTACAGTACTATTCGATACTTCTTCAAATCTTTTTTATTTACTTACTATTTGTCGAAAAAGTAAACATCGCGAAGATGATTATGATGAAAACCAAAACTGCATATTTATCCATCAAACCTTCATGCTTCACATCCAAAATGTTTGAAACGATGGTATCATCCCACTGTTAAGTTATACACTGCTTTCTGCATGACGTCATTTTGTCACGCTAGGAATATGAGCGATCGTTACTGGATCGGACCGGATCGGATCACGGACCGGATCAAGGATCGGATCAAGGATTGGATCACGGATCGGATCACGGATCGAATCATGTTATTTGAAATTTGAAATTTAACGCGACAAGTCAAAATTAGGTCTGCGTGGCATAATGGGGCGCAGGCTTCACCATCACGTATCATTTCCTCGGTCAGTTGAGAAAATCACGAAATAGTTCTCAGTTGCTTCTTCTCCTTGAGCTTTTTCCGTTTTCCGTGAGGCTCGTTGTAAGCCATAGTTCGCAAACTAATCGACCTAGATGCGTGACCTTCCCAAGAATCGCAACGAAATTTCACCAACTAGAGGTTATTTCAATACATTTGGTTTGTTACGCATTCCTCTCAATAACATCTGCGTTTCGCGTTTTTTTGAGACCAGCGGAGGGGCTTCATTGCCGCTCAGATCGAAGACAAATCGAAAAAATTCCGAGAACCCGTTTGTATTTTTGACGAAAACCGAAAACCAAATGCTAAATCGCGTAATATCCGTAAATCAAAATGAACAAGAAAACCGAAAAACCAAAGTTTTTTTGGCACAAAACCGAAAATCGGATATTTAAAATAGCCAAAATCGTCAAAACGAAAGCCGCAATGCCCCCACGCTGATTGAAGAATGAAACGTACCTCGATCTCTCTCGCCTTCGTCCATGTCGGCACTTCACAACACTCCTCGACACAGCGGTGAAAGGACTACATGGAGTTTTGGGGCAAAAAAAACAACAACAACGAAAAAAAAACCAGCAACAACAACAACAATAACAAAACAATAAAATGGGCCTGCGCTCCATTATGTCACGCAGACTCTGTTTTGGCTTGTTACGCACATCTCTACTTTTCATTGAAATAATCTTAATTTTTTCACACTCCCTTTTTTTTAACTGTTCATGACTTTGTAAATGATTTGATGGTTTAAATTTTGAAAACTCTCCCCCACTTCTGGTGGGACCTGCGCTCGATTATGTCACGCAGGTTTTATTTTGGCTTAACACGCAATATTTCTAATTTTATCATTTTTATGTCAGCTTTATAATCCTAAATTAGCGCCACTCGTCTCCCGAACAACTCACTCAAGCATTAACATACTCAGGAGTAGGTATTTGATTCACATATTCAATGTCGCCGTCTTCCCCTGTAGATGTGTAAGTTCGGGAACCTTCGTCTTCTGGAGCCTGCAAAATATTCAGTTTTATTTGTGAGAAAACTGATGGTTTTATCGACTTGACAGACAAGGTTTATCGAACTGTGCTCTCGATTCCTTCTGACGATATAGACTCTTTGGCAAAAATACGGCTAAAAGTTTAGACTACTGGTTGTGAAACATAATGCCTGTTTGTAAATGAGACCCCTCTACCTCTACTTCTATAATGTGATGTTTCCCCAGAAAACTGTAATGTTTAAATAGATATATAGGGGAATATAATATAGGGAATAGATAGATAGATGTAGCTGGTAGTTTGAAAACACTTAGACGTTTCGGATTTTCTTTCTTTTTTTGAATATATATTTAATTTTTTCGTAATCTAATGTTGAAAAATCAAATTAGGTGATTTAATTAATTTTGTGCGAAATTACCATCATTGCACACAGTGCGGTATCTACACCTTCCCGTTGTACAAACGGTTTACGTTGGAGTCTAAATAAACAAATAAAAACAAAAAACAAAAACAAAAAAGGGGAAGCAAATCAAGGTTAGTTATTGATTAATTTGAGGAACGATTTCAAACGAAATTTTAAGAATACAAAGGTTTTTGAGCAGGGAGGAAAACCTGTGGGCTCGATTGCCACCATGAAATAAACTTTCACCAAAAGTGCTATCAAATTTAGTTTACATTATTATCACAACTTTATTATCCTGGATTAACGCAAAATGTCTAACAAACAATCCACCATAGCTTTTCACACGTTTTCTGATGGTGAAGCATTAACATACCCATGAGCTGGTTTTAAATTCTCATATTCAATGTCTTTGGCTTCTCTCTTAGATTCATCAAGCGACGCGTATGTTCGTGAATTATCCTCATCAGGCGTCTGCGAAATAGACAGTTTTATTGGTTGGAAAATTATTCATTCAATTTTTTTGTTTTTCGAAAATCACATTTGGACCACATTGGGTAGTTTTCGTTTCATTTTATGTATAATTACCATCATTGACTGAGGACATAGCGCAGTATATATTCCCTCCTGTTGGACAAAAGGTTCAGTTTGGAGCTTCTCATTCCTGGTTTCAGTTCCCGCGAAAAAACTGGGTTGGGCACTACCACTCAAATTAATCAACTGCAAACCGTCTTGAAAGTCGCGCTGATTTCTGTGTAGAGACGGGTTACCAATAAACAAACAAAAAGAAAACAGCAAACAGGGGAAGCTAGCTATCAATTGCATTTGAAAATTAAAATACATTGACTGCTAGCAGTAAGACAACCAAACAGAAGTTCAAAAAATAAAGCAGGGAAAAGCTCGCCATGTTCAGCAGGCAATTAGGAAGGTATCAAATCAACTTGACAAAAACTCTAAGAGCAGCGTTGAGCACCTCTTGCTGCGGGCTTAAGCAGCGGTCGATTACCCTTGTCAAATTGACAAATTTTCTCTTCCGTAAAATCTTTAGGAAACATATCAGCTAAAACGCTTAGAGACGTTTTGTTTTCGTTACTATCAAACGCCGTGGTTAATGCAGAGATGATATTTCCTCATTTTGTCTCATGCTCTTGGGCGAGGGAGGTAGTCTTGCCCATCAATAACGGAGGTGGATGCCACTGACATATATCTTTGAACATCACTTTTGTTGGAATTAACTCAGTCTAAATTTGTTTTTACAAGTGCCTTTGTTGCTAAATGATGTTTGGGCAACGAACTTCAAAGAAATCAGGGGTTTTCACAAGAGGATCACTGATTTCATAGCCTCAAATTGTTTCAAAATTTTATTTGTAAAGCAGTAAATTCATGCTTTATACAATTTGGAAAAAAATGGACCACGGAGAAACTCCTGAACGAGCAATTATATTATCTTCTACCAAACGATAGCACTAATAACTTGTCAAGGTAAGCAACGCCTCCAAGCAACGATTCGACTCAAATTTAAACGTTTTTTTTTCTTTTTTTAGGTAAAACTCAATATAACATGTGCACTCTTTTGGTTAGTGTAGAGCATACGGGGTTTGTGCGCTGAAGGATTCGGGTCTGAAGGTCTGGGTTTGAGTTTGCAGAGATGCTTTAGACTAGCTTTATCCATCCAGGAGTATAGATTGGTGCAATCACGTTTAATAGGTGGACCTGAGGAGGAGGGGTAACCTTGCTATGGATTGGCATTTTTTCTAGGGAAAGAGGAAGTAGCAATAATCATAGCAACAAGAGGATACGACTTTCAGCGCTAGCTCAAATACTAGTATTACCTTAAACCACTCAATAAGTACCAGTGGGAAAGCGCTTCAGAAAAAGGAAATAGATACTAACGATTATTCTTTCGACACTGTGCTTTCTGCATCTAAAAAGATGTGCATTTAGAAAACATGACTTTGATTATCACTGCATGTAAAAAAGACAGGTTTATGTCTTGCCACACTGTAACAGTGGTAAAAATTAAGCAGAATGTTTCTGTTATCGCAAAGATTTGTGTCTAAACAATGATCACCCGTAAACCTGTAGTTTCAATATTTTGCGAACATCTTATTACATATTTAGTGCTGCTTTTCAATACGACAACGCTTAAAAGCACGAAATCGGCAAAGGAAATAAAATTTGAGAAGTCAAAGGCAATTAATTATCGTTAATGTCGAACTTCTTTACCTTTTCGTTGACGATTCCTTCGCCTTAATAATATAACTGCAATAAGAATGATCAACACTACGAAGAACACTGCTGCTGAGGAAGCGGCAATTATCAGTACTGTGGGCAGTGAACTGCTGTTGTCATTTGTGATTACCATGGTTGGTATGAACACAGTTATTGAAGATCCTGGATTAAATGCATTTGTATTTTCAAATTTCTAATGATGTTAATCGTGATGTATCAAGAGATTATAATATCTATCCTAAATAGTGCCCCTGAATGATCCGGCAAATTCTTTACCGACTGTCCAACCTTCAAGCGAACAAAAGAACGAAAACAAGGAAAACCAATATCAAATGCAAAGAGGTCCCTTAAGCTCTGCCACACACACAAAAACAAAACAACAACAACAAGCAAAGAAGCATACAAACAGAACAATCAAACGAAACAAAAACATGAAAAGACAAGTCGAAGTGAAACAGGAAGGAAAAAAGCAAACAAAACTAGGCTAACGCATGGAAGTTACTCTTTTATATATCCTCAGTCAATCAAAATTGTCAATCAATCGGCGATCTTACCTGATACACCAGCGATATCCTGTTCGGTTGACGTCTTCCCTAGTGTGGTAACAATTTTTGTTGCAGTTATAGGTCCAGGAGGATTTGTGCTTCTTGGAAAAGGATGGAGGAAACAGACCCCTCGACAATTGTCTGTGATAGGAACATGAAAATTGACACTGTTTCTAGGTAGACATTTGTGGAGTGGCAATTTGATTAGACGGAAATGTAGTGTTTCTCAAGCTTTCCCATAGCTAGCTACGAATCAGTACATTATCTAAGGGGTTCCCAATAATTTATCTATAAACTTTTATCAAAGTGGCTGGTATCACGGGAACTGTTCCACTGAAGATGATGAGCCTTCGTATGAGGTGATCGAAATAGGCGAAAAGGGTAAGATGAGAAAAAGAACAGATAAAGGGTGGGAAGGAGAGCGCAAAAGCAGCCTACAGTTAATTCAGATTCATGCATGATAATAATGTTTGATAAAGCTAAAATCGTTCTGTTATCTGATCCTGATCAATACCTGATTCTTTCTCGCAAATCCATCCTCTTTGTACGGTGCTAATCCTCTTTGTAATTGTGCTAAAAGATCCTTTCATTCCAGGTGGAAATTCCTCATGAATCATCCCATAAAAGTCATTTGGTTCAGGACTTGACTTATCCCATTTGTCAATAGTCAGAGGTTCGCCATTGATCCAAGTCCGATTAACTGATGTTATATTCATCTCAAGACCAATAAACCATTCACCACATTCACTGCCTTCTCGGTTATGAATCGCATTTTCGATAAATTCCCATTCCTGCTCTGTTTCAATAAAGCTACAGCATGAACAAAGCCTCTCTTCATCTATCAAGAAACAAAAAAAAAACAAAACAACTTACAAATATGTTGTTTTCGCTCTATCAATAATTAACAACAAGAAAGGGGTGGGGAGGGGGAAGAATGAAGTGTGTGAGCATGGATCACGAATTGAACTTTTAGTTTGAACTTTCTGATCTTTAAAAAAAACTACAGCAAGTTTTCGTGAAGCCAAGGATTACAACCGAACACGTGACTTGATAGAGGGTGATCGCCACAATCATTCATACATTAATCAACAAGGTCATTACCTATTCATATATCCATGTTTTTATTCGTTTTTTTTTTATTTCATTTGTCATCTGCAGTCTTAAGCAAGGCAGAAAGATTAAAGAAACACTACTTGTCTGAAGGAGATCTGGGTTATTTAGATTTCATTTAGATGGAATAGCAGAAGAATTGCGGCGATAGTACAACCACACTTCATACACACGCCAAAAGTCTCAAATCAGGATCTTACAGTATTACTGAAAAGTAAGGTTTTACAACCCCTGGCCTTGAAAAATCTGGGTTTGAGAGAACCACATCGGATAAACGTCGGTTAGCAAAGCAGGCGATCACAATGAAATGTAAAATACTATTCAATGATTCCTCAAATCTTTTTTATTTACATACATTTCGTTAAAAAAAATAAGTATCACAAAGATGATTGATGAAAACAAAAACTACGAATTTATCTAGCAAACCTTCACACCTTCCGCCCGAAATATTTGATACGATGGTATCATCCCACATTTACGTTACACGAGTGTAGCTTAATGTCCCGGATCGTGGGTAGTGGGTAGACGTCGTAAAGTAGTAGGAGTAGGATGGTGATCAGCTAGGTCTTCCAAGGCGAGCAAGACCTCGGGAGGGTACAAAGTGCCTGAGAAGCGCCCCTCTCACTTTGGAAAACTGCATTTTTGATGTCCATTTATTCTGAGGAACCGCCTTTTCGTGCAATTGGGGCGGGATGAGGGAGGATGGGGGTTAAGTGTGTACTTGGCGGGGGTAGACTGCTTCATATATTTTGTTCCTTTCTTTCTTTTTAAATTTTTTTTCACCCAAGGTATTTTAATTCATTCTCAAATATTGAAGTGTTAGTCTGTCAAGGCGAAAAAAAATCTGTGAAGTGCCCAAATGCCTTTCTGGTGATCCTGTGTTCTGTGGATCTGCCATGTTCGACAACGGTCGTGGCACGATATTTTCAATCATTAAAGAGACCTGTCGCGATGTATATAAGACATACAGCTCCATAGCAACGACTAAATGAAAGCTGTTCAAATTTCAAAATTCGAGAAAGTCGTTTCAACGGATCAATAAAACATGGATCTATTTCCATTATGGAATCGAAGCCTCTACTTCCTTTCAATCCAATCGACCATCGTTGTGTAATGTGAAGTGTATGAAGGTAAAATGCGAGAGAATTCTCCTCTAAAGACATCAAAATATTATTTACCAATCATTTTTTATAAATGCAAGTCATCTTGGTAGTAAATTTTGCAATGTAAGGAGTTGGATGCGCAAGATATCAGATTCGATCTCATACATAAAAACCTGTGAAGTCTTTAAGGATTATCTTCAATTTCTTTTCACTTACCAGTTCTCGACAGTAACAAGTCAATTGCAAGCATGATCAATACATGTATCCTCGCTAAATTCATCGTCCTAGGCCTACACGTTTTGGATGAAAAAGTTTGAAACGTCACGAAAGTAAAAGTTGCACTTGGATGACCAGCTAAAAGATATTTCCGGTCATTCAAGGTGTGACATGGGAAGAATAAGCGGAAAGTTCGGCAAGAGATCAGGCTGATGGATGGACGAGTAATTACCACGACTTGCATGTGAATTAGATAAACAAAGTAAAAACAGTTATGTTATCAGTCATTTATTTATCTAGATTTTTGTACATAGACTAAATAGTTCTCTTAATATCGATCCTGTAGTAACCGCGTACTACACGGGAACGTACTAACGTACTATGAGGGAATTGAAACCCTTGTCTTCTATTACGACACAGCATTCAAACAAATCATCAGACTGAGAATTCTGCAGACACAGAGACTATAAACTGTGTTTAAGATTAATACATAGCTGTTGTATTTGATCAAGTATCGAATCAAGAACAAGAGAATGAAATAGAGAAATTTAAGATGAGGAAAACAACACAGTCTCTTGGCTTTTCTCTTAAGCCAATTTATTCAAAGCGAAGAAATGTGCTCTGGTTTATTTCAGATACAGCAGGGTTGTATTTCGTACAAACTCATTGGATAATTTTTCGGAAATGTTCTTTTAAAGCTTTTCTGGCGGGATTGAGGTCGTCAGGGTCAGGGATTGTCTTGGAAACTTTGCAACACAATTAATGAAAAAGCTTCAACTGAGGATTTTTTTCCCCTTCAGCCATCTTCCTGTTTCTCTCTCTCTCTCTCTTATTCATTTACATGGTCTGTGGCCTTTTGGATAGTTTGACATATTTTAACTAAGGTTAGTTTTGGATGCATTCGGATCCACTCAAGCATTAACATACTCAGAAGTAGGTATTTGATTCGCATGTTCAGTATCGCTGTTGGGCGCTAAAAGTTATATTAATTATCTAAAAACCTTTAAATTTTTTTGAATTCCCTTGGTTTTCAATTGAACAAGCAAGGAGTGTAATATATTAAAAACACTGAATAAAGCGAGTGTCAGTATATTGTGCAAATTCATCAATTTTCCAATTCAACACACCTATACTGACGCGATATACACAAAGGAAACAGCTTTAAATCTACAACTAGATGAAAGCTAGTGAAGGACTTGGGGTTCTTTGACATGATTGTTAAGCCAACATTATTCAATACACATTAATTTGATCATTACCATCTACTATTTCCTTCTCAAAAAAAAATAATTATGCTTATGCCATCCTTGTCCGTCGCTCTTGATAAATACTTGTTATAAACGGTCAAAACACGTTCTACCTCGAGGGTTATCTCGCAATTCTCTTGATTCATGATCTAAAATTAATCGCCACTATCTAGAAAACAGCTAAAAAATGAAACCAGACATTCGATCAAGAGCTCGTCCGTCATGAACTTTAGAATTCTCAACGATTCCTTTCACAATTTCTTACACTCGACAGTAACATACCGATGTGTTGAAATAGCACAACCACTGCAAGACAGGATAATAGTGTATTCATCTTTATTTAAGCCTTTGCATGATGGGGGGGGGGGGAGGGATTGTGGCTTTGCAGAGACACATACCATCGACATTTTGTTTACTTCAGCTTTTTAGGCGATTATCATCTTAATTACGAAAAATCCACTCAACAAGCATTAACATAATCAGGAGCAGGTATTTGATTCACATATTCAATGTCACTGTCTTCTGTTGATTTCACAAGGGGAGTGTACGTTCGGGAACCATCGTTTTCAGAGGTCTGCAAAATATTCAGTTTTATTTGTTACAAAAATCATGTTATAATCGACTTGATAGGCTTGGTAACGCTGAAAACACGACTAAGATCGTCAAATCAAATGAAAAAAAAAAAAATTGAACGAAACCATAAACGCTGCCAAGTGAAAATTAGACATTCGTTCAAATGCGTTTCTAGTGAAGGTTTTATAAGATACTGCGCTTAAATCTTATGCTTATTGCCTATTTCCAAATGAGACCCCTTCACCCGCCATTCCTGAAAAGAAGTGATGTTTAAAATAGATATAAAGGAAAGTAAGGACATAAACGGATGAATAAAATTTGATGAATAATAATGGTAAATAGATTAAACAATCAGACTTATATAATATGGAAAAATTTTTTTTGTCAAAAGACCACAGTCAAGGTGCGTCAGAGAGGCAATATATAAGCGCAGGGAAAGGGGCGATGCAGGGAGCAAACATCCAGAGGAACAGCTAAAAAGTTAAAATAAAGGAAGTAAGGCACATACTATAGTCCCTTTTTTTATAAAGCTCATATTGGGTAACTTCAAGTTCGTTGTAAGTATAATTACCATCATCGACTCCGGTAACAGCTCGGTGTATATACCCTCCTGTTGGACAAGCTGTTCACTCTGGAGCCCCTCAATCCCGGTTCCATTGTCCGAAGCAAACTCTAGCCGGGCATCAACATTCAAAACATTCAATGGCAAGCTCTCTTGAAATTCACGCTGATTTCTGTATAATGAGAGCAAAAAAAAAACAAACAAACAAACAAACAGAAAGAAAAAAGTGAGAAGGTCCAGGTTCATCACTAATGACCTTTGAAAATGCAACTAGACTGACTGGCAACAGGAAGACAGACAAACTTTTGAAACATTAAACAACAAACAACGAGCAGCACCCCATATTTATTTGGCGGAGATTCATGAATAGCTATCTACTCAACTTGTTAGAAAACCTACGGAGTTCCAGAGCAGAGCCATTTAAAACATGATAATACTGTTCTCTCATAAACAGCTTGGGTTCCCTGTACTCTAGTTACAGTCTATTGCCTTCGTGAAATCGCCAAATCTACTCTGGTATTAAATCGATAGGAATGACGGTTTCTGCATCGATGGGCATGAAAAATCTGGTTTCAGCCCATCAAAAGCGAAAAATTAAAATTTTGTGCCACTGGTTATATCAACATTTGAATAAGATTTCCTCGTTCTTCTCCTTAAAACCTGTTTTAAGGAATTTTATTCCTTCCAATCACAAATTTTTATGTTTTGTTTAAGAGATACACTCGGCCTAAATTTACATGTGCACTTGGACTGAATAAATGTCGATTAAGAGTGACACAGAAGCAACTTACATTTTGACAGCTTTGTTTCTTGAAGCTAGTGGATAAAATCAAGTACCACCGTTAGTAGCAAACAAAGGAATAAACAACTTTTGTTTCTTCAAAAGGTTTCAATTTAAGTTTTTGGAAAAACAAAATGACGTCAGACTCCCCGCGATTTGTCGGTTCATCCGGCGGTATTTTACTGCAAACATACATGTACTTGGTACCTCGGTTGACAAATTAACAACTTGAGAGCCAGGAGGTAGTCACGGAGCGTATTGGTAGTGTGACCAGCTATTTCCTTTGAGCACGTCATTTAGGACGGTTATTTTACTCAGATTTGTCGTAGCGTAATTTTTACGATCCCTTAAGTATGATTTTTCCAGAACCAGTCGGTCTTACAAGGCAGCATTGTATCGAAGTCCAGGACACTTTAGACTTAGAGAGTGTAATCTATTTCTTCGCCAAAACTCAGCATTTATTTTATTGTTCTATTATAATTTTTTTTTATTATTTATTTATGATCATTGTTGTTAATTTTTTTTTTCACCTTCACTCGCTACTTTTATTTACATTGAGCTTCCTTGCCCGTTACATTCATATACATCTCTAGAATTGTGGTTTAAATCAATATTAAATGATATTTAAATCAAACCTGCCTCTAAATTGCCCTGACGATACAGATGGCTACATGTCACGTTGAATTTGATGGACAATGCAAATAAAATCCAAGTACCTTTTTCTTGTTGTTTTTTTCGTAGCAGTATCAAAACCACGGCAAGGATGATCATCACTATAAACAATAATGCTGCTAAAGTAGCGATTGCCAGATAAAGAAAAAAGCAGTTGGGATCTTTCTTGAGGTCTTCGACCTTTGTCATTACTGGAAATGTGGTCGTCGGAGAACCTTGGGTAAGCTGATAATTAGGTTGACCCTACTGAAACGGGATAACATATGGAAAGTAGAGGAAAGAGAGAGGGCTGCTTGAAAGTCTCGCATAGGGAATCCCCATGGATTGTAGACCTTAGAAAATTGAAAACTCTTCTATATGAATAAGAAACCTTGGCTGAACTTTCTCTGTTGATTTCGCCGTGGTAAGAGTCAGTTTTTTAAGTCGCTGGATTTAACGTGTTTAGGGTACTTAATTTTAACTTTTTTTCTCGGAGCGTCTCGAATACAAGCTAATACATATCCTTAAAAGTGCTTCTGGCTGTTTTAACTGAATACTCATATAACCAAGTGACGAACCTTAAGCTAACAAACCAACAATATGGATTTGACTCGTCTACATACCTTAAAATCAACAATCGATATATGATCTTACCTGTGGTAACAGCTTTGGTCTCATTTGATGTTCGAGGAGGACTTGTGGCTATTGGAACATGATGTACGAAGCAAATCCCTTTACAGATAGCTGTTAAAGAAACATAACGAGTTGAATATGAAAGGGATCTTTCGATCGATTGTAACGAACACTACTTAAGTAGTAGTGAAAAGAAGGCCTGAAAAAAATTCAGGCCTGTACGGGACTTGAACCTATGACCTCTGCGATACCCGTGTAGTGCTCTAACAACTGAGCTAACAAGCCAACTGGGAGCTGGTCAATGTGTTGGTTCCAAATAAACCCGTGAAGTAGTGAATAAACGGTTGTGAATATATGGAAGTCAAATATTTGAACTGCGGTTAAAGACGTGAATATGGTAGCAATCTTCGCAGTAATGAACACTACTTAAGTAGTAGTGAAAGGAAGGCCTGAAAAAAATTCAGGTCTGTACGGGATTTGAACCCATGACTTCTGCGATACCGGTTCAGTGAGTGATAGAATGAGTGATAAAGTTTCAATTGCACGTCCCTATAACTTAGAAAGCTTTAGGTAAATGTGCGGCTAAGATCACGGTCTACTCCCCTGATGGTGATGGACTATTAGTAGTAATGTAATCGCAATAGGCGGCCTTCAGAAAGAGTACGTTGGGATAAAGAACGAGGAAGGGTGTTGGGGGGGTGTTAGGGTAGCTTGTAGGAAAAAAACTGTGTATAACAACAGCGTTTGATTCACAAATTATTGCCCTTTTTGTGCTACTGATCAATACCTGTTTCTTCCTCGCAAATCCATTGTCTTTTAACGTAGCCCCTATAGGTACTAAGTGATCCTTTAAATCCTGGTGGATATTCCTTATGAATCAGTCCGTAAGTGTCATTTGGGTCAGGATTGATGCCCTCCTTATGCCATTTGTCAATAGTCAAAGATTTACCATTGATCCAAGTCCATCTACGCGTCACTGAATTTTTTTTCAAGCCGATAGACCTTTCATCATATCGGCTGCCTGATTTATTTTGAATCTCATTTGTAATAAATTGCCATTCCTGCTCTGATTCCATGACTGCGAGTGTTTTATCGTTGGATTCACAGGAGTCCCTTGCGTTTGGCCAGAACGATTGTCTTTTATTGAAGGTATAACACGAACATAGCCTCTCTCCATCTAGAATAGCACAATTACATAGAAGTTAGACTAATAATTAGTACCAGAAAAGTGTGTGTCTATGCGTCTGTGAGAAAATGCACTGCTTACTGGGTTAACTGTTACGTGTACGCTCGAATCGTTCTAATTTACATGGTTTTCATTTTATCAAGCAAGCAGTGTAATATAATAAAAACAATGTGTAAGATAAAAGCCAGTACATTGAATAAATAATGGTAATTGAACTGAGTGGAGTGCAATTTGGGCTGAAATCATACGCTGCGCGCTCGTTCGATTTGAAATCACAAGTATGATTTCAGACCAAAATTGCACGACACGAGGTTCAATTACCACTTTATTACATCCATTTTGAAATCACCCAAATACAGGACTTGGTCAATTCGAATATTTTATTGATGCAGTACTGAGGCGGTTTTTAAATAAAAAGCGGAACCGGAAACGCTTTTACATCTCATTTTGTATGCAAAACAGAAAGACTTTCACGTCATGTGTCAAAAACTCAGTCAAGCGTATCAAAAGAAAGACAACTTTCATTCAAGAAATTCGAGAAGTCCTCAAAAACTCAGAAAAATAGTGAAGCGTTAAAGTTCAGTCCTCGTCGTCTGACTCAATAATGTAAGCTCTTCGTTTCTTCTGTGGTTGGGGTGGAGAATTCTGGCTGTCTCTAGAGAAGAAATTGAAGGTGCAGCCTGTGTAATTCTGTGATGGAACGGGAGCAGCACAACTGAAGGCTTCCATGCGGTACTGAGACTGCAACGGAAAACGTGGTGGAAATCCTGAAAATTCAGCCGGCTGAAAACCAGGATTGGAGCCCATGGCCTGATGCATTTGGCCTTGTTGTTGGACGTGATAAATAGGAACCAGAGGTGTTCGTTTATGTTGGACTGCAATCTCTTGATTTGAGGCTTCATTTGCAGTGTTTTGGCGGGAGACTTCGTTTGCTTGATTTTCGTTTGACACTTCTTTATATCCACTGATAATGTGAGACAGTTCTTTCCTGTGATTCTCGTCTATTTAATCGCAGTCGTCTAACGAAGATTCACGTGCATGGCCTGTTATTTCACAGATAACATTGCGCGGTTGACCAGACTTCTTCACTTTTGATACCAATGTTTTCCTCATGCTGTGGTTCGTCAGCTTCTTATTCGTCTTGAGACAGGAGGCCATGGATTTCATTAAATTGCCGATGGTGTTTTGTCCCATTCGAACTTTGGTGTACCAAACATCTGCTGATTTAGGACGATTTATGATGCTAAGATAGAGTGGCCCTGTGTTCTTCATTCCTCCGGGTCGCTTGGACAACCAAAGCTTGAATAGCCGCACTGGATCGCTTTTTCCGCCATCGGTACTGAACATTGCCTGTGGTGTTATTCTTCGCCTGATGGTGAGACCACCGCTCCGCGTTTTAGTGGGACCTTCCCTGAACTCAACAACTTCAGTTCCATCTTCTCGCTGTCTTATAATTACGTCTTCCACGTATGCATCGTAGTTTTCTTGTCGACCACGAAATCCCAGTTGTTCTGTCAAATTTTTGAAGTTGACATTGGTCAAGACCTTTCCATTAAAATCACCCAACTGACCTTTTTCCCACAGGAAAGTCCCTGGAATGTTGGTCTTCAGCCTGAAGGATCTCATTGTCATCATTCAAAAACTGGAAAAAATTAAATTCATCCATTTTTGGGGGGGGAAAAAATAAGAGTTATGGAAACAAAAGATGCAAAATTTGCGAAATGATACTCTTTGTCTTTCATTTTCCTGCAATTTGATTGGTTACTTTAAACAAGCCTTGAAATCTGATTGGTTGTTTTGTTTTAAGTGTAACTTCCTCATTGGCTGGAAAAAAGATGCGATTTAGAGCAAAAAATGGTGCGATTCGTGAATAAATCGCACCAATTAGAGCCAATCAGATCACAGGGACCACCAGTGATTTCAAAATGGATGTAATAAATCCATTAATTTTCTCATGTAACACGCCCGGGTTGCGTTACATATTGCATGCCATGTGCAGTTACCGTGACGTCATCAGTCACGCGAGTCATGCTATATCTTACAATCGTTTTCAACTTTACGAAGATCGTGTACTGTCGCGATGTACATGAGACGTATAACTCCGTAGCGACAACTAAATGAAAGCTGTTCACAGTTCCAAATTCGAGAAAGTCGAACTTAAAGCAAACACTTTACAAAGGATCAAAATACATGGATCTATTTCCGTAATTGAAAAGCCTCTTCTTCCTTCTTAACCCAATCGACCATTGTTGTGCATTGTGAAGTGTGTTAAGGTTAACTGCGAGATAATTCTTCTTTAAAAACAATCAAAACATAATTTACCAATCATCTTTTATAAAAGCAAGTCATTTTGTTGATTAATTTCGAAATTTAAAGCGTTGAATACGCAAGATATTAGATTTGATCCTTAAGTATCAATCACGTACGTAAATCAACAAAACTCGTGAAGTCAAGAATTATTTTCAATTCCATTTCACTTACCAGTTCTCGGTATTAACAAATCAATTGCAAGCACGATCCATGCATGTATGTTGACGAAATTCATCGTCCTAGGCCTACGTTCTGAACGAGAAAGTTTGAAACGCCACGAAAGAGCAATTTACACTCGAACGACCAATATTGACATATTTCCGGTCACACAAGGTGTGAATTAGGAGGAAGCAGCGGAAGTTTGACAAGAGATCACGTAAAGTTTACATGTTTTGGAATTTTGTAACCATTACAGACAGGACATACCAAATTATGCAGGATTACAGGCAGAGCTTTTGTAATTGGAGAGATTGTGGAAGGGGAGGGATAACAGAGGAGATATTATTCCTGACAGTTTGGAGGCTACACTGAAGGATATTGACAAAGATGCATATGTCAACATCTATTCCATGCTGAAAGTCCTGATCACAATTCCAATTTCATCTGCATCTTGTGAGAGATCCATATCATCCCTTCGGAATCTTAAGAACTATTTGAGAAATACAATGACCCAGGACAGACTGAATGGATTGGCACTGATGCATGCCCACAGAGACATGGATTTTGACCTTGAACGTATAATAGATTTATTTGCTGAGTTACATCCTAGGAGAATGAGAATGGCAAACATTTTGTAATAATTTTTTGCACCAGCTGTTTCTAGAGTACTTGTGAGTTATGTTCTGTCTGGGTTATGGCCTTTAAGTCTCATAATCCTTAAACTGATGGAGAACAGTACAGAAGCTCAAACTGGTGCCTGTATAACTTTTTTTTCAACTCATTTCAAGGTTATTTTCTATTTTGTTTTACTTGTGATGATTTTCCATTGACATTGACATTGGGTTTTCATGTTAAGCTTAAATGGTTAACAAACATTTTCACTGAACTCGACCAGCTTCACAGCAATTCCCAAGGATGAAGAAAGGCTAGTATTATTTCAAATTATCATTTTACTTCAATTTGTATATCATTTTATGATTCTTATAATTTATATTTTTCTAATAATTGTTTTATTTTTTGAATTCAGCTCCCAACACAGGCTAACCATCCATAAAGCCCTTCTCTCTCTCTCAAATTCTTTTCTGTGTTGTGCTCCTATAAATGAAATGAATAAAAGCCAGCTCAGGAAATGTTGTTTTTAGTGTTGCTAAACATTTGGATTTATTGAGCCTGGCTTTCATTCATTTCATTCATTATAGGAGCACAACACAGAAGAAATTTTGAGAGAGAGAAGGGCTTTTTATGGATGGTAAGCCTGTGGTCCCAAGGATGAAAAAAAAGGCAAGTAGATTTTTATTATCAATCTTTAAACTATATCATCAATTGTGCTTGTTTTTCTTTTGTTATCAAAAAACACTAACACTTGGTTTTTTTTCTCCACATCTTGATTTTCCTGACTGGGAGGTGATGTTTTCCAGTGTGAAAAGTCTTGGTGATGACTTGGCCTTCCTGAAAACACTATATACACTGGTTTGCACAGTAGCTAAAGGTGGAATATTTGTAGATCAGAGTGTTTCCTGTAGTACTTTCAAGAAAAATAAATGTTTTTGCCTTTTTGATTACATGCTTTTTTAGTCTTTTGGGGGCAATTAAATTTTCTAAAAATGCATGAAATGGCCTTTAGAGAGCTCCAAATTTCAAATTTTTTCGGGGGGGCATGCCCCCGAACCCCCCTAGCAGGAGTGGGTCCTCGGGTGGAAACTACTCACTCAAAATCCTGGATCCACCCCTGTAAACATAGTTGAAAAGGAACTTGATTTCCACGGAGAACGAGAATTTGAAAAAGGGAAATTTTGAATGAGAAAAAAACGCAAATTTCTACGGCCAGCTTCTCTTTAGCTTTGGATCATTAGAGGAGAGGCGAAGTGTTCTGGTTTATTTTAAATAAGTAGGGTGTATTGCGTTGGATATTTTTGGAATGTTCTTGAAAAGCTTTGCCGACGGGATTGAGATCGTTAGGGTCCGGCACTCTGTAGGAAACTGAACGCCACAATTAAGGAAAAAAAATTTCACGAAATATTATTTTGTCCCTCTATTATTTTTGTATGAACTTATGTGTATATTGCCTGTGGTCTCCTAAATAGCTCGATAGATATTAGCAGCGGTTGGTTTTGCTTTCATTTTTGAAGCGATCTGCTAATCGCCCTGCTAACACAGTTAGATCATTCAAATTTATATCTTTGTACTTTGATTTCTTAATTGAGAGTATTTACTTAATCACTTTAATAAAAATCATAACGATGGAATGAAAACACGAAGACCGGAATCCATCAAGGGAATCTTTCTGCATAGATGTGTAATTACAACGATTCGCGTTTTAATTTAATAAACAAGGTCAAAAACACTTAGGTTATTTCAGTCATTTATTTATTTATAGCGGAGCTCGCGTAGCCCCATAATTATACAAAATAGTAGTAACCCATCAAGCCGAAAAAATTTGGATGTACGACCGTACGACCGTTCGACCGACCGTACAAGGCGCTACTTTTAGCATGCGCGGCCAACTGTACCACGGGCACTATATCTTGTAATCAGTCCTCTACACGGACACGAAAAAGTTGCGAATGAAAATCCATCAATATTACCATGCACTTTATCCATAGTAGAAGCTTTAGTTTTGTTGAAGAGACGTGCGGGAAAAAAATGCGAGCTCCGCTTTTAGGCTTGCCTAAATCTATATATTATTTTTGTACACAGACTAAATCGTTCTCTTGGTATGGATCCTGTAATAACCTACTATACGGGAACGTACTAACGCACAATGAGGGAATCGAAATCGTTGTCTAAATGTTGTACGACACGACAATCAGGCAAATCAACCAGACTGAAAATTCGGCAGACGCGAAAACTATGAACTGTGTATAAGATTAATACAGAGCTGTTGCATTAGTTGAATGACTGAAAACTGTATGCTAAGATATTAGTCTTTATCGTAGCGTTTTCCAAAACAAAGTGAAAAAACCTCAAACTAAAGTCCTACTGAATAATCACCAATTAACTACGTAATGCTGATGAAGTAAAATAACAATGACCTAAGGGCCTTTTTTTTTTAAATCCTGAAAAAAAACCTCGTAGCTCTCAAACATATGCGCGTGTACAGATACAGTTGCATCGCCTTGTTATACTTTTTTCTCTATCAATGATTATAGTGTTATTAATAATTTGATAGTTTTTTTATTTTTTTAATTTATTTTTTTATTTTACGATGGACTAAGCATTTACTGTACAATGGAACTTAACTGGTAATTATTGTTTGTAATTATACGCTTGCAACATTTCATTTTAAAACACACTTTAATGATAGTAAATTATGAAGCTATATAGCTATATTACTATTAAAAAAAAACCTGAGTTGCTTTCTCCTTATTTTTATTATCATATTATGATTGTTATAACAATTTTAATTATTATTACTATTTCTATTATTATTATTATTAATATTTTTTTCACTATAAAAAATTGCGATAAGACATTACTTAAAAACATTTTAAGATTAAAAAAATTGCTAAAAAGCGACGACGTTTCGACGTTGGCTGAACGTCATTATCAAGTCAAATTAAGAAGTGATTTTTGGTCTATAAATACTAAAAAACAACAATAGCTGATAAAAGATTGTAACGTGAGAAAATATCAAACAAAGAGTTTCGCACGTATAGAGTCCGTCTGAATATTTAAATTGGGCTTAAGTTTCTTGATGAAGAGCATTTCAAATACTAAGCAATCAAATTTGCCCTGGCACTTTCTTAAAACCGTGAATTGGCTTTCTCTCAAAAGGTTGTTGTTACCATGAGCTTCTAAAAAATGTCTACCGATTGCCGAATTTTTGTGCTCAGCAATGCGTTGATGAAGGTGTCGGGCTGTATACCCGACATAATCTG